TATATTTGAGGAGTAAAATAAATCAATGTATGGAATGTAACCATTGTGCGTAGATTTCATTACTCATTTTTTAATAATCCTCGAATAAAATCTGTAGAAAATATGATAAAAAGCCTATATTGCGTCGTGGGTTATACTCTGATTATTTCAGCTTTAATACACAAGCTACTAAAAGCGCGCAGCATGAAGTTCAATCTTTTCCCGTTTTCCGTGAAAGTTCTGCTTCTGGTATATTAAAGAGCCCTTACTGATGTAATTTTAGAGGAAACCGAAACATTGCCCTCCGCATGTCCTTTAACAAACGCTACACATACTGACATACATACCGCATTAATTCGACTGAGTGCCCTGGGCGCTAATTGAATGTTTGGACCTTGATAGTGGCCGCTTATTTGAGTTGGGCGCTTCTCAAATTTTCATTATTTTCCGCAAGTAGTAAGTTTATTTGGCAAAAATATAATAGATAGTAACAAAACGTTATCTTGTACTATAAACAACGAATTTAGAGATTTGGAAGAAGTAATTATTCAATACCCGTCTTGTGCACTTTTTATGGGGGGGGGGGAACTGGGTGGATGGGTGCTTTTTCGTTTATGGGGAGGGGGAACTGGGGGGATGGGCTCTTTTTTCGAGACTGGGCGCTCATTAACTTTTCCAACCTACAGGGTGGGCGCTTACAAGAGGTTGGGCACTTAATCAAATAAATGCGGTATGAAAAACTGTACTATTGATAATCATCTCAATCTTCTCAAACAGTAATGTTAATTTGTCGTCTTTTCAATTTTTACTTTTCGAAATCACGCAGTAATCTAATTAACTTAAACAACCGACAAAAGAATATACTCAGTTATTATACACAGGAAACCTAGAGAGATAAAAATAAGTAAAACAATAAAAGCGAGGCCTCAAAGACATCAACCATGAACGGCAGGTTGAGTCATAGCACCCTGGGCTCCTCTCTCTCTCCCTCTCTCTCTCTCTCTCTCTTCCTTGAGTATGTGTCACTATCAGCCGAAGGTGCTTTTGCTTTTTCAACGGTCATCGTCAACATAAAGGCTTGCGTGCTCCCTCAGAAGAAGATCTAAAGAGTTCCAAGAGAGAGTTTCCTTAATCTGTGACCTTTTTTTTTACTTCAGCTCACCGATTTTGCTATTTCATTCACTCATCTTTGAAGCTCTTCTCCACCAAAGCGCTGTCCAAAAATGTTAGTTTCCACTGTGGAAAATTGTTTAAAGATCTCTCTCTCTCTGGAGAGGTGGATGGGAAGTTTTATAATCTTTTCATAATAAGTATCCCTTTTTTTCTGATTATTAGAATTGATGAGATAATGTATAGAGCGAAAATTAACGATACAATAACTCTGCGTCACTGCTAATCTGGTCACCAATTTTGAGGCGTTGATATATTGTTTCAAGACACTGAACACCCAAGGTGTAAAGAGCGGAGAGTTCTTTTCAGATTTTATTTGCTTCTATTTTCAAACAACCGTGAAAAAATATACATGAACTCCAGTATAGAAATAAAAAAAATGCCTAAATTGAAGCCATAAAGGCGTGGCGTCTTCCTCACTCAGTAATTTTGAAGAAAAAAAAGGAAAAAAATTCAAATTACGGAGTGAAGAATGCACCCGGCTAAGATCGAGCAAGCAATTAAGGCAATATTACAGATGAGGTCGTGTCGTCTAGGTGGGAGGGCGGGAAGTGTACAGGTATGCGCCGCTATGAAGTGTATGATATTTGAGCTGTTTAATTTTGGAAATTGATATAGATTTTGACCCATTAGGTCTAAACTTGTGCTAGGTTATCAAGAGAACGTGTAAAAACGTATCGGCATCTCCATAATGAACAATAAAGAAAAAGAAGTAGCCAGGGTTATCACTCGGGCTAAAACTTGGAGAATTCTATGAATTCTTGATCTCGGCACCGGTTGTAAAGGTCTAAAGACAAGTATCCATTTAAGAGGTCAAACGGGGTGGATATGGCATGTTCTGATCTGAAATAGGATTAGCATTTAGAGAACTCGCCCGGCACATTCCCAGGCTGTGTTGTCAGTATATAGGTTCTGTATCATGTGTGAGCGACCTCTGATTTTCAACGGGCCCGTCTGTTCTTAGGTTGATTTTGGCTCGCGCTCTCGAAAATACCTTTGTGCCTTCCGGCTGTCGGTAAAAGATATCAATCGAAGGCCTTTCCCAATTCTTTAGAAAGCATATGACCTTAATTTGCGATCAAAAACAAAACAAAACAAAATCTAGTTGATGTTATTTACATGAACTCTTCACATTGTCTGCTTTGATATTAGACACTTAGAGTTCTAATACATCTTCTATATTTTCAAAATGTACTTTCTGTTTGCTTTCTATTGTTATTGATGCGATTTTGGTCAATCTTGGTTTAAGATAAGCTAAGACGGCTTCTCGTCTGGTCTCTCTCTTTTGTGTCGACAAGGAGATTACTAAGAAAGAAAAAGAGGATTGACATTTCTTGCCTTCGAATTACTAGTTACGGGCTTTTCTTTAAAGAACGCTAATTTTTGAAGGAAGACATACGATGATTTTTTCAAAAACTTCAAAGATTTCTACGGGAAAAAATTCAGAGTTCATGCAACAGAAGGCTGTCCCAAGATCACTATAAAAAGCCGATTAACCTGAAACGTTTTCCGTGAAAACATTTCCCTGGAAAACTTCAGCTTGATGGTAAAGATGCAAAATATGACAAGAACTTCTGATCCTAGTGTTGCCTAAAACTGAAATGCCAGCTTACGTACGGACGCTTTCCAGGAACGACCTTTACTAGTGACGGAGACCTGCCATTCATGGATAATTAATTGTCCACGGAAAGACAAGGGAAAAATTTTACTGCAACAAGTTGAAAAAAAGTGGTAAACAAGTTTTCTCTCTCAATGGTGAACATCACTAACTTTTTTTTTTTTTTTCTGGGGGGTGCAATTCCCAAGCGTCGAAGACCACAGTAGAGTTCCGCTGACTCGAACTCCCAAGGGATATAAAGAGTGGTTCGAGTTTGCGGGGGTTTGAGTATTGACTGAAAAAAAAATAAGGACAAGGGGAATCAGATCTTCTCTGGATTCACGGGGAGTTCGATTTAGTCGAGTTCGATTTAGCGGGTTTCTATTGTAATAAATGACCCCTTGGCGCGAGAATCGCTGCGGCATCCGCTAAGTTAGTCCACTGCCACTTTACGCGATGAAAAAAGAAATGAACCTACTGATGTGGGTTTAGGGTAATAGTCAAGTTTATGTATTTGTAACAGAATCAAAGGAAGTTTACACTTAAAAATATAGTATTTATGATTGCATTCAGTATTTCTGAGAGACAATTGTTCAAGTACCACTTTCCTTCTCTTTAATCTTCATTCATTTTTGCTACAGTGTATGTTTTATTGTTACATTATGATTTTAGCCGTTAAACAGAAGCGTTCGTATCTAGTCAACGCTTACTCATATAAACTAAAGCATCGCATCGTCAAAGCAATTTCGGAATCAACGTGAGTATTTAAGCAACAGCGCATCTACCCCTCTCCTAACTCAACAATAGTCAACTGATAACAAGTTAGGGTTAATGTTGGGTTAGGGGAGGGGTAGGTGCGCAGTCGTTCAGATACTGACAATAGTCCACGGTCGTTTCTCAGAAGAGCGATTATTAATGCTTCTGTCGGAAATCGAAAACAAATTTTTACTTTTAACTTTTTTTGTGTGCAGTTTATCGAAAATCTATGTTACGGACGGAAAATTTCACACGCTACTGAATCTTTTTAGTAATCATCTTGAGCTACTTCAAAGTATTCCATTAGCAACGGGATTGGCTTCTCATTCTATTTTGGCCACTTCCTCCATGTAGGCGGCCAAAACCTTGGTCTGTTGACAAACACAACGAGGATGAATTCAATATTCCATAATACTGTCACAATGGAAGGTAACGTTAAGTTACTTTCGCTTAGTTTCACCTCGAAGATTTTCAAATTCACAAATATTCTTCAAAGGTGTCCAACTTGAAATAGAAATAGGCTCGGTTACATTTCTCAGAGCCCAATCTTCCTTTCGCGCAGAGGAAAACCAGACCAGAGTGAGCGGAAGAAATCGAGCCAAAGGGAATTATACCAATTGTTAAAAACATGATGAAAGGCGATTGTGGGCGATATCCAGCAGGATATCTTGTAGGAGGTGGAGGGTGTTATGCGACCCCTAAACTCCCATGATCATAATTAGGACTTCTCCTCTCTTATTAGTGTACCTTTCCACAGAGATTAGTTATAAGAATTGAAGCTATATCAGAATTTACCAATGTAAAGGAAAAGCATACAAGGCAAGAAGTATTAACAATTTAATAATGTTCACCGAGGGATAGGCCCAATGGTCTGCTGTGAATGCATGTATCCTGTAAATCAGTCTGTAAATCAGATTGACATCGTCTCTTGGCTGCGTAAAAACGCTTAACATACACGTGCATAACTACCGGAACTGAACCCAATTTGTAAGGCGAAAAGCTCCTGGGATTATTGCAACTCGTCTTCGATGGACTCCTAGTCCATTGTGGGAATCTGGGCCTACTTCTTCTTATCATTTCAATGGCGAATTCAATGAAAAAGCTACAATACTTACTCCTTCAATGTAGTTCTTTCAATCCATCTTTTCATTCTAGAAGTGCAGTAATAAGGAAAAAAAAGACGTTTAGAGTGCTTCTGTGAGATCTTGACGAAATACATCTGCATACAGAGCTGACTCTCCTCACAGCCAGAGCTTATCCCAGTTTCTATGGCATGTAGCTACTAAAAGCATTTCTTCTTCTCTAAGGAAATGTGTGGCATGTAGACGGGAACATTAACAAAAAGATCTTGGGAGTTAAAGGGCCAACAGTATATGACATTTATGTTGATTTCCGTATTTTTGAAGGAAAGAAATGGCTGACTGGCTGATTTTAGCTCTATGGGTCTTACCAGGCAAGCTCAGTATATTATTGCAATTCATCTTTTCCGAATACTTACATATACAAGTCTTCTTGTCAGAAAGAAGCTCCATTCCTGTTGGGCATTCACATTTGGGTCCTGATGGCCTGTATAAACACAAATGACTACAGCCTCCATTTTTGCGCTGACAGGCATTGGAACCTAGAGGCCAAAAAAAGGTGTTTTAAGTGTAATAAGAAGGAAACATGGAATAGTCAAAACTAATTTAAGTATCAAATAAATAATGCTTCTTACCATAGGAGAGATTAAGGTTTACAGCTTTTAGTCCCATAAGATGGGGTAGGCTGTCAATCAGTACTCTTCTGTCTTCACCAGTTCTTTTGTTCACACTCTCTATTGACCTCTTCTGCCAGTCCGTCCAATAAAGATGATCCCCAAGCACAGTAAAGCCAAACACATGAGGCAATTTTTTATCTAAAATAATACGGCGGGCACTCCCATCGAAGTTCATGACTTCTATCTTGTCATCCTTTGCATCAGCCCAGTAAATCTTTTGCTTAAGATAATCAATGGTGAGGCCATTTGGCCACGCGACCGAGGAATTCACTAAGATGACTCTCTGACTCCCATCAAGCTCTGCTCTCTCAATCTTTGGGTGTTTTCCCCAATCAGTCCAGTACATGTACCTAAGTGAGACCATGTTAGAACATTTCAAACTTATAACAGCCTTTCTCACTGACACATTTGATAAAAAAAAATTAATTCAAATTTCTTTGCATACCTTTGCCAACTTTCAGTATGGAAATAAATAAAAATATTAAAATCCATTTTTTTGCTGTTTTTTTTTTTTTTACATCTCAGCAAGGCTTAGTCGTGGGCTACTAACCCATGCAGTCTTTCCCAATACCAAACAAGGTTCAGATTTCCCCTGCCATTCCGAAAAAGCAAAATGAGCAGAAAAATATCAGTTATTCACAGCCTCAGTCAGTCCTATTGGGATAAAACTGTGCCCTCCAACATGAGTACGGCCTTCCTTCTTGGCCTCTGGCTGTACTCAAGACTTTGGGTACAGATTTTTCACTCAGTAAATATCACAATTATACCCAGATATCTACCCTTTAGTTGGATCCAATGCTATTGCTCTTGGTTCATCAAGATTTTCATCAATAAGAACTCTCCTAGCAGAGCCGTTTAGTCTGCTGACTTCAATTCTATTAGTGCCTGTGTCTGTCCAGTACAAGTTCTGTGCCACCCAGTCAACAGCAATACCATCAGGATTTTTCAGCTCACTCCTTACTACTACCTGAACATCTGAAATACAAAGAAAAAGAAAACAGTTCAGTAGAAAGACTAACATCCAGACTGGCCCTCATGTTGGTTAGTACTCAATAGTACTGTTTTGGATGCCATGCCAAGCAGGACAAGTTCTGGAGACTGAAGCTATAGTTTACTCTTTCCATTCAGCAATATAGATGGTACCAGAAAAACTGCCTGAGAGACTTGACAGAACTTTTGTAAAGTTACCATAAATTTGCGCAAAAGAGTTAACATAATTAGTGTATTCAAGTTCAAGGTTGGCTAACCTTCTCCATTCAACCGGCATCTTTTAATCTCAAGTTTTTTATCATCACTCCAGTAAACATATCTATCCACTGGATCAAAATCAATTGCCACTGCATGACTGATTCCAGACAATGGTAAAACGACATCTGTGAGATCAGGTGTATCGAGTGATATACGCCGCAGGTCCCCTTTTCTTGCCAGCAATAGAAAATGGAAAGGGCCTAAGATAAAGAAACAAAACAAAACAAACATTATGAATGAGCTTATTACTGGATAGTGATACAACCAATAACAGTTGTTATAGTATATCTGATTTCACAGTTCAGCCTTTAAATTAACTAGTTAGTTCTTTCTTTCCAACTGCTATACATTTCCAAATGAGATACTGGTGAGAACAACAGCACTGTAATCACATCAAGAAAGTATGCCTTCATTGATTTTTGCTATTAAGCAAATATATGACATATTGATCCCTCTTCTTCATTTTTAGCCCGATAAATTTGAAATTCTCTCAGGCACACATTGTTAAAATTAAAAATATTACAGAGAATGTATAGGCACATTTAGCATCCAGAGAGTTTGTGTTTCTCTAAGGCAAGTCACAAACACAATTTGTCTCAACTGACATGGAGAATTTTCATGAAAATCTTTGTCACTGCCATCAATTGCACAAATTCAACGAGAGAGACATAATTCAATAGCAGCAGCAGAGATTTTCACGTGTTGTAACAAGTTGTGACTCCTCCTTAAAATACCCCACAAAATAATATTCTAATTATGCACATCCAGTATTATAATACAGAATGTTTTAAATGTATTTCATAACTGGAGTCACATTTCAAACAAAGCCCAAATACAAACAGTACACACACTATTTGCAGCTATTCATGACATTGGACACTCAATCATACCTTTTTCACATGTTCTTCCATCAGGCAAAAGCTTCACACCAGTTGGGCAAGCACAAGAGCGGCCATGGGTATTCAACAGACAAAGATGGGTGCACCCTCCATTGAGAGTAGAATTACAAGGATTTTGACCTGTTACAAGATAAGTCGATAACTTGTCAAAAATAAACCAAAGTCACAATTTGGCATTTCTTTCTACCACTGCATGAGAGTTTTAAAGAAAAACCATGCCAAGAGCTATCAATAAAAGCCAATGGCTCACTGAACCTCCCCCCCCCCCATCAAAATGCACATTCAAATAGTTCAAAACTCAGTAGGGCATTCCCTTCATGTGATGATGTCAACCAGTCAAACTAATCAACATCTGGAGATCAACACACAGCAGTCAACACATCACACTTGTTATCATGTGACTAACTAACTTGTATGCAGTGTTCTCCTTTTTAAGGCGGTAAGCCATAAAATTTACTGCCTGTACCTCGTATTACTGCCTAAAATCATGTAGAACTTTTAAAGATTTCAACGGTTAAAAGGATTCCTCTACCAGCTTGAAAATTTATCTTACCTGTCGTGCTTAAAATAGGGAAGAACACTGCAAGACAATCGATAACCATTTATTAATTCTGCTTACCCGGCCTTGGCAACTGTTTTTTTGGTTCATATGCATGTATATCCATGGGTTTATAAGTAGTTGACCAGACCATTTGACACCGCATCCCACTGTTTTTATTTGCAGAATGTATTCCTCTAGAAGTCCAGTCTGTCCAATAAATTTTGTTTTCATATAATGTCAAAGCAAATGGATGAGCTTGATTTGCCAAAATACATTGACTTGGAGTTTTAAATATTCTCTCCCGGTTTGAACCATCAAAATTAGCTTTAGCTATATATAACAATTTTGCATCTGTCCAGTAAATTTTCTCTGCACTGTAGTCTATTGTGAGCCCATTGGGCCAATGAATGTTTTGTCTGACAATTACGGAACGATTAGAGCCATCCATTTCAGCTCTCTCTATCTTGGGTTCTTCACCCCAATCTGTCCAAAACATGAACCTGAAATTATAATTTGAGAGACAACAATTTTTTAGAAACTTTTAACACCATTGTTATTCTAACAAGGACTCGGGACTCGGGACTCGGGGACTTGGGACTCGGGGACTTGGGATTCGGGGACTTGGGATTCGGGGACTTGGGATTCGGGGACTTGGGACTCGGGGACTTGGGACTCGGGGACTTGGGGAAAAAATCGGGACTCGGGATTCAACTCGACACTCGGGGACTTCTTTATCGGGGACTTCGGGGAAATCACTCGGGGACTCGGGGACTCGGGGACTCGGGAACTCGGGACCCGGGACTCGGGGACTCGGGACTCGGGGCTCGGGGACTTGGGAATCGGAGACTTGGGACTCGGAGACTTGGGACTCGGAGACTTGGGACTCGGAGACTTGGGACTCGGAGACTTGGGACTCGGAGACTTGGGACTCGGAGACTTGGGACTCGGAGACTTGGGACTCGGAGACTTGGGACTCGGAGACTTGGGTCTCGGAGACTTGGAAACTTGGGACTCGGGGACTTGGGATTCGGGGACTTGGGATTCGGGGACTAGGGATTCGGGGACTAGGGATTCGGGGACATGGGACTCGGGGACGTGGGACTGGAGGATGCAAGGGACTCGGGGACGTGATAAACAAACAACACCTGACATTTGCGCTGATTTTGTAGAGTAAAATTTTCGTTGGTCTTGAAAATGCTATTATGTGCTGGAGAGCTTGTTAGCCGGTAGTAGCCGATGGTTTTCAGCGTCCATGGTTCGGCCGGAGATGTTTGCTTGCCTTTTTGACCGTGAGAACTCTGGGTACAGAACAGTTTCAACGCAGGGGTCTTAAAACTGTTAAAAACATCGTGGGCAGCCATGGAGGCCTTTCCTAGTAAGTAACTGTTTTCTTCTCGATCCATGCCTTATCCTTGCAAAAAAAGAATAAGAAAGAAAACACAGTTACTTACCAGGAAAGTCCTCAAAGGCTGCCCTCGATGTTTAAAACCCCTTGCGGTGAAACTATTTTGAACCCAGAGTTCTCACCGTCAAAGAGGCAAACGAGTTCTCACGTACTCGAGTCCCCGCGTCCCACGTCACCGAGTCCCACTGAGACGTAGGGACTGGGACTCAGGGACGTCCCCACGTCCTAGACCCCACGTCCCAGTCCCACTTTTAGTCACAGCCTCGTTGAATTTAATAAGAAGCACCGACTCTAACGCAAGCTATTTACAAAATATCGAAATCCCAATGCCAAGCAAAACCTTCGTTGTAGACAAATTGCTGACGATTTTTCTCAAACTCAGCACAAAATAAACTGCAGCTATTGAGTGCAACAAAATAACACAAAGTCTTCAATTTACCCCTTGAGTGGATCCACTGCAATCGCCCTTGGAAGACCCAAGTCTTTCCAGAAAAGAACTTTGCGATAGGATCCATCAAAATTTGCAACTTCGATTCTGTTTGTTTCCCAGTCAGAATCTCCACAATTAGTCCAATATAACTTTTTTCCTACCCAATCTACGGCTAATCCTTCAGGCTTTTTCAAACCCAAAGATATAACATCTTCAACTTTTCTTGAGTTAGAACTTTCCGTCATACGAATTCGTTTGATTTTCTCATCGTTGACATCCGTCCAAAATATGTATCCATCTTCGTAGCTGAAATCTACAGCGATAGCATTCAAAAGACCAACAACTACGATAGTTTCATTTTGGTTCTTTTGATTTGGTCGTACTATTCTGATGTCTCTCCGGTTTACGTATAAAATCCTTGGAGAAGTCGCTGTGGAAAATAAAAAATTGGATAAGAAGAGTTGCTGGCACGAAACTAGAACTAAAAAGTAAAATACCTGATTCGTCACAAGCAATTTCATAAAGACCAATCGAAGATAATTGAGTTAGCTCCGTTTAGCGAAAGGAAACGTCTGGAAATATTTTGTTTTTATCGTAACGGCCAAAGGGTTTACACCTGAAGAAATATAAGTTAAACATATCGCTTTCAACGGGCGTCATTACTCTGTAGTAATTCATCTCCGATGTTCTCCGAGGATTTGCTAAATGTTCTGTAAATAAACATGATAATAAAAGACTACAACTGTTCATGCAAGACGCACGTAGCCAGAAGCTAGCTTCGGGTTATTAAATCAAATGTGTAACATCGCGTACTTTATTCTTTATCTTCTCTGATTAAAGAGTATATCAGTCCCTTGAATCAGCTCGAATTGTAGTGCGAGGGTGTAAATTACAAGTTTTTAAGCACTAAAGATCTCTAAAAAAGAATCCAAATTCAACTGGTAATGGTCTACGAGTGTCCTGCAGCATTCTTTCATTTGTTTAAACGACCAAAAATATATTTTTTGTCAAATGAAATGAGAGCGATGTTGTTGTTATTATCACAGGAGAAGATTCGCCCTTTGCGGCTTTTGTCCTGCATACACATTGGTGTTTAGATCTTTAAATATCATCAGGCAGAAAGAACCATTCGCATAGATACGCATCGAACGCACTTACTTTAAACAATCAATAATGGCTAAATGGACGTCAACTACCAAGCAAATAAAGTTTTTTGAATTTCATCCTTCAACTATAACGGTCTACGAGTGTTTTTTTGTTTAAAGGAATATTTTTTGTCACCATTACACAAGCAAGATGATTTTGTTAAGCGAATCAATATCATGCATAGAACACATTCATGTACGCATCGAAATCCTAAACATATCTTATAATATAGGCAAACCAAGCAAATTAATGCTTTGAATTTCATCCTACGCTATCGGTCCGGTAGCTTCACCATTAGAGACAGTGGTTAAGTGCTCCAAATTCATAGTCATGTCGCCCGAAATCCTAAGTCATGTCGCCCGAAATTTTATCGAGTATTTAAACTTGAAGAAAAGTAACATGACTCGTGTTGACTCGTGAAACTCAGGTTGTTCGTTTCGCTGTCGTTTGATATCAAGGAGATAGTAATCCTAAATGGATGCCGCAAGAGAACATGCAATGCACAACCAATCTATTCTTCCTCTAATTACTGCCAAACGGTAGGTGGCTTGGTCGTTACAGTCCCGCAGATACGATGCTGCCAAAAGCCGCAATCGTCGCACTGAAGGGCTTGCTGGCGTGGTCGAACTTCATTTCGACACTCGATACAGGGATGAAGGCTCACTGTATAATTTTGCGTACGCGTATACGTAACGATCTCGTGTTTCAGCTAGCTGATTATCTTGGAATGAGGTGGCTATTAATAATTTCCCCTCCTTATATATGGTTAACCAGATCAAAATTTACATGCAACCGGCCGAGGAAACAAGAATCAACTGAACAAGTCGCGGTAATTTATGCCGCGTCTGATCCTAAGGGGAATGATGCTAACACACTTTGTTCGCGTGGTTAACAATAAACAAAAAAAAACCGCTGTAAAAGTTTCAGGTTGTTTTTTATACGATAAATCAAACAAAGAGAACTGTATTTTCTGATATGTGTGAAAATTCTGATAACTGAAAGTGTTCCGCTTATAATTACTAGAATCTGTACTGTAGAATGAGCAGCAATATTTGAGACTTTGTTTTACTTAATATTCGCATGGGTTAGCGGACGAAAACATTTTACATACGAGTCAACATTTTACGAGTTTGTTCCTTGCGATTGTTACTTTTCTTCAAGATTAAACACTCGATCAAATTTCGGGCGACATGATATGAATTTCGGGTGACATGACTCTGGTTATGGGCGACATGACTTCGGTCAAGACGACTTTCGGGCGACTTGACCGGTTACCCCTCACAGCCAGAGCTTATCCCAGGTTCTATGGCATGAAGCCACTAAAAGCATTTCTTCTTCTCTAAGGAAATGTGTGGCATGTAGACGGGAACATTAACAAAAAGATCCTGGGAGTTAAACGGCCAACCGTGTATGACATTTACGTTGATTTCCGTATTTTTGAAGGAAAGAAATGGCTGACTGGCTGATTTTAGCTCTATGGGCCTTACCAGGCAAGCTCAGTATATTATTGCAATGCAACTTTTCCGAATACTTACATGTACAAGTCTTCTTGTCAGAAAGAAGCTCCATTCCTGTTGGGCATTCACATTTGGGTCCTGATGGCCTGTATAAACACAAATGACTACAGCCTCCATTTTTGCGCTGGCAGGCATTGGAACCTAGAGGCCAAAAAAGTGTTTTAAGTGTAATAAGAAGGAAACATGGAATAGTCAAAACTAATTTTAAGTATCAAACAAAAAATGCTTCTTACCATAGGAGAGATTAAGGTTTACAGCTTTTAGTCCCATAATATCAGTCAGGCTGTCAATGAGTACTCTTCTGTCTTCACCAGTTCTTTTGTTCACACTCTCTATTGACCTCTTCTGCCAGTCCGTCCAATAAAGATTATCCCCAAGTACAGTAAAGCCAAACACATGAGGCAATTTTTTATCTAAAATAATACGGCGGGCACTCCCATCGAAGTTCATGACTTCTATCTTGTCATCCTTTGCATCAGCCCAGTAAATCTTTTGCTTAAGATAATCAATGGTGAGGCCATTTGGCCACGCGACCGAGGAATTCACTAAGATGACTCTCTGACTCCCATCAAGCTCTGCTCTCTCAATCTTTGGGTGTTTTCCCCAATCAGTCCAGTACATGTACCTAAGTGAGACCATGTTAGAACATTTCAAACTTATAACAGCCTTTCTCACTGACACATTTGATAACAAAAATTAATTCTAATTTCTTTGCATGCCTTTACCAACTTTCAGTATGAAAATAAATAAAAATATTAAAATCCATTTTTTTTGCTGTTTTTTTGTTTTTTTTTCACATCTCAGCAAGGCTTAGTCATGGGCTCCTAACCCATCCAGTCTTTCCCAATACCAAAGAGAGTTCAGAATTTTTTCCCTGCCATTCTGAAAAAGCAAAATGAGCAGAAAAATATCAGTTATTCACAGCCTCAGTCAGTCCTATTGGGGAAAAGCTGTGCCTTCCAACATGTTTATGGCTTTCCTTCTTGGCCTCTGGCTGTACTCAAGACTTTGGGCACAGATTTCCTACCCAGTAAATAACATAATTATACCCAGATATTTACCCTTTAGTTGGATCCAATGCTATTGCTCTTGGTTCATCAAGATTTTCATCAATAAGAACTCTTCTAGCAGAGCCGTTTAGTCTGCTGACTTCAATTCTATTAGTGCCTGTGTCTGTCCAGTACAAGTTCCGCGCCACCCAGTCAACAGCAATACCATCAGGATGTTTCACCTCACTCCTTACTACTACCTGAACATCTGAAATACAAAGAAAAAGACAGAAAACAGTTTAGAAGAAAGATTAACATCCAGACCGGCCCTCATGTTGGTTAATACTCTATATAACTGTTTTGGATGCCATAGCAAGCAGGACAAGTTCTGGTGACTGAAGCTGTAGTTTACTCTTTCCATTCAGCAATATAAATGGTACCAGAAAAACTGTCTGAGAGACTTGACAGAACTTTTGTAAAGTTACCATAAATTTGCGCAAAAGAGTTAACATAATTAGTGTATTCAAGTTCAAGGTTGGCTAACCGTCTCCATCCAACCGGCATCTTTTAATTTCAAGTTTTTTATCATCACTCCAGTAAACATATCTATCCACTGGATCAAAATCAATTGCGACTGCATGGCTGATTCCAGACACTGGTAAAACAACATCTGTGAGATCAGGTGTATCAAGTGATATACGCCGCAGGTCCCCTTTTCTTGCCAGCAATAGAAAATGGAAAGGGCCTAAGATAAAAAAACAAAACAAAACAAAACAAACATTATGAATGAGCTTATTAATGGATAGTGATACAACCAAATACAGTTGTTAGAGTAAATCTAATTTCGCAGGTCAGCCTTTAAATTACCTAGTTAGTTCTTTCTTTCCAACTGCTACAAATTTCCAAATGAGATACTGGTGAGAACAATAGCACTGTAATCACATCAAGAAAGGATGCCTTCATTAATTTTTGCCATGTAAGTACCTATCTATCAAATAATGTACATTATTCTGCTCGTTAGCCCAAGCTTTTCGTTTTCTTACCAAGCTACAAAAAGATGGGTATTAAATAATCAAATATAGGACATACCGATCCTTCTCCCTCATTTTTAGCCCGATACATTTAAAATTCTCTCAGGCACACATTGTTAAAAATTAAAAATTTTGCAGAGAATGTATAGGCACATTTAGCATCCAGAGAGTTTGTGTTGCTCTAAGCCAAGTCACAAACACAATTTACCTCAAGTGACATGGAGAATTTTCATGAAAATCTTTGTCACTGCCATCAGTTGCACAAATTCAAACCAATATGAATTCACACACCTGAACTCAGAGACATAATTCAATAGCAGCAGCAGGGACTTTCAAGTGTTGTAACAAGTTGTGTCTCCCCCTTAAAATACCCCACAAAATAATATAATTCTAATAATGCACATCCAGTATACAGAATGTTTTAAATGTATTCATAACTGGAGCCACATTTCAAACAAAGCCCAAATACAAACAGTACACACACTATTTGCAGCTATTCATGACATTGGACACTCAATCATACCTTTTTCACATGTTCTTCCATCAGGCAAAAGCTTCAAACCAGTTGGGCAAGCACAAGAGCGGCTATGGGTATTCAACAGACAAAGATGGGTGCACCCTCCATTGAGAGTAGAATTACAAGGATTTTGACCTGTTACAACATAAGTCGATAACTTGTCAAAAATAAACCAAGGTCACAATTTGGCATTTCTTTTTACCATTGCATGAGAGTTTTAAAGAAAAACCATGCCAAGAGCTATCAATAAAAGCCAATGCCTCACCGAAACCCCCTCCCCTCCCCACCCACTCAGCTACATGTATCATTAGGGTAATTAAGTGTTATCAACTGAGTTGATAACACTTAGTTAGCCTGTTATACCCTTCTACTGATGCAGCACCACAGTTTCTTTAGAAACTTACCCCATTTAGACATGTATCTTTAGCCAGCCACTTTCACTTCATTTTTCTAGTAACTCGTTATGAAATTTCAACCAATTATTGAAATAAAATCAAAGAAATTTGTACACCTTGCTTGAAGATTTATGCACAGCTCATGGAATGCCTATCTAACCTTTTAACTTTTAAGAGTGACCAAGACAGAATTTCTCTTTGTAATATTGACACAATATCAAGCAGATAAATGATAGGAACTAAGAAAAATATAAATAAGGGGATTATTAGTTATTCCAATACCAAAACATAAAATGATAAAGATTACATGGTGGACAGTAAGGGAAACTACAAATCAGATCTGAGAGTGGAAAATACAATTTCAAAGTGTAGAAAATTTCCAGGCTTGTTCAAAACTGATTACCCAGTCAGGAAGAGTGTTTTCAATAAATGTAGTGTTAGAAGTTCTACAATGAATCACTGTAGCAGCAATCATCAAATTGATCCTCAAAATACACATTCAAATAGTTCAAAACTCAGTAGGGCATTCCCTTCATGTGATGATGCCTAACCAGTCAAACTAATCAACATATGGAGATCCACACGCAGCAGTCAACACATCACACTTGTTATCATGTGACTAACTAACTTGTATGCAGTGTTCTCCTTTTTAAGGTGGTAAGGCATAAAATTTACTGCCTGTAGTACTGCCTCATATTACTGTCTAAAATCATGTAGAATTCTTAAAGAATTCAACGGTTAAAAGGATTCCCCTACCAGCTTGAAAATTTATCTAACCTGTAGTGCTTAAAATAGGGGAAAACACTGCAAGACAATCAATGATCATTTATTAATTATGCTTACCTGGCCTTGGTACCAGCTGTTTTTTTGGTTCATATGCATGTATATCCATGGGTTTATAAGTAGTTGACCAGACCATTTGACACCGCATCCCACTGTTTTTATTTGCAGAATGTATCCCTCTAGAAGTCCAATCTGTCCAATAAATTTTGTTTTCATATAACGTCAAAGCAAATGGATGAGCTTGATTTGCCAAAATACATTGACTTGGAGTTTTAAATATTCTCTCCCGGTTTGAACCATCAAAATTAGCTTTAGCTATATAAAACAATTTTGCATCTGTCCAGTAAATTTTCTCTGCACTGTAGTCTATTGTGAGCCCATTGGGCCGACGAATGTTTTGTCTGACAATTACGGAACGATTAGAGCCATCCATTTCAGCTCTCTCTATCTTGGGTTCTTTACCCCAATCTGTCCAAAACATGAACCTGAAATTATAATTTGAGAGACAACAATTTTTTAGAAACTTTTAACACCATTGTTATTCTAACAAACATCAACTACTGTAATTACACTTAAACTGCAATGAAAAATGGACAAGTCCTTTATTTGAAATCATTTATTTTCTTTACAGAGAACTGTTCTTGTTGCTCTCAATTTGGTATTAAATGCCTTAAGTACATTTTCTGATTCAATAGCAGAGATTGAGAGTGCTGTGTGCCATGTAGGATTCAACCCCCAAATGAAGTTCTTTGAAATTCTTTGACATTTCAGCAGCCACAATCGTCTAGTACTGTACGTAGGCCCTTGGAAAAAACGGCCATAAAGAGATCTTTCAAGTTAATTACCCAGGCAATTTCAGGGTCAAAGTTAAGTTGATTCAAGGAGTAAGATTCAAAATCCATAATTTTACCGCAGTGATTTATCAGTGACCAAAAATTTTAACACCAGTTTTGTGACTTCTAATCTTAAAGTCCAGCAATTTATTTAAAACCTGGATTGAGTCAGCAGAGCCATAAGTTTACGGTTAAAAAACATGGTTGTTTTAACAGATGAAGGACAAAAACACCTTCATATTAGTACTGTATAGTGCACTGATTACTCTTCACGTGAAGTAAACAGCTTTTCAGTTTGTTTGAGTTAAGTGACAACTGGGTGAAACTTTTTCACTACGTTGTTTGATTTTAGTGACACATAAATGAAACTTTTTAATTGCATTGTTACCTGCAAGATACTGCATTATTGAGGCACACAATAAAAAGTTATATCACTAACAAAATACCGATATTTCTTTACTTCTAACCCAATCAAATACAACAATGGCCCATAGTTTTTAGAAATGGCCAATAATTTTAAAAAGCCATTGGCCATAAACTCAAATGCCTATTCTCTGTAACAGTGTTCATTTGTTTGAGAATTTACTTGGCATACATCTGAGTAACATCTTTCAATATCCATACGTAACTCAAGCTCTCTTTTAAAGTGATCAGCATTTTGTTGTATAAATTACAATAAACAACATTACTATTCTTATGGTAAAGGAGAAAAAGTAAACTTGCAAAATAGGAAATAACGAAGATCTTCAGAAAGGCTGAACTATTGTCCAAGGCCATTAACAAAGCTTTCTTCAAAGCTCTCTTTATATGAGACCATAGATTATTCAAGAATAAATATTGCATATCAACAGATTTTCAACAAAAACCCAAGCCCTTCAGTTATGCTCCGGGATTTATAGAAGACCAGCCCCTCATTAACAACACAGAGAAAAATAAAACTTGCTTCAGAGGACAATGAACACTAAAGAACTATTTAAGTCCATAATTTCAAAATGTTAACTCATTCCACAACTACTGTATTTTAGGCAAACAAGAGAATCTTTCAGCTAGAGTGAAATTCACAAATAAAATATCTTCTCTGAGTGGATCTCTCAGATTGATTCTTTGACATGACACTCTCTGGCTTTACTCAGTGAATTTCAACAGGGGGCTACAATAACAAAGAAAGCTTAGATTCCAGCAAGATTCACAAGCTTTCTTTGAAAAGGGTATTGAGTTCAAATACTGGATGCATGCAACAAATTCTTTAGGGCATATTCATCACTTAAGAGATTGCTCGGAGAGACATTCATGGCAACACTTGTGACCTTCAAGGTTCGCTAGAAGCAGGCTAACAAAAAACAATGATAGATAACTGTTTGCCCGCCGAAGTTCAACGCTTAATGTATTTCTAATTGAGCACAGTTCATTAGTCTTTCCTCGTCGAACGGCTGTGACTAAAAGTTGGATGGCGACGTGAGGACTGGGACTTGGGACTCGAGGACGTGAGACTCAGGGACGTGAGACTCGGAGACGTGAGACTCAGGGACGTGGGACTCGGGGACGTGGGACTTGGAGACGTGGGACTTGGAGACGTGGGACTCGGGAAGGTGAGACTCGGAGACGTGGGACTCGAGGACGTGGGACTCGGGGACGTGGACGCGGGATATTGGGGACGCACGGGACTCGGGGACGTGATAAACAAACAACACCTGACATTTGCGCTGATTTTGTAGAGTATAATTTTCGGTGGTCTCGATAAAGCTACTATATGCTGGAGAGCTTGTTAGAAGTAGCCGATGGTTTTCAGCGTCCATGGTTCGGCCGGAGATGTTTGCTTGCCTATTTGACCGTGAGAACTCTGGGTACAGAATACTTTCAACGCAGGGGTCTTGAAACTGTTAAAAACATCGTGAGCAGCTATGGAGGACTTTCCTTGTAAGTGACTGTGTTTTCTTCTCGATCCATGCCTTATCCTTGTTAAAAAGGAATAAGAAAGAAAACACAGTTACTTACCAGGAAAGTCCTTCATGGTTGCCCTCGATGTTTAAAACCCCTTGCGTTGAAATTATTCTATACCCAGAGTTGTCACGGTCAAAGAGGCAAGCAAACATATCCAGCCGAACCATGGACGCTGGAAATCATCGGCTACTACTGACAAGCTCTCCAGCATATTACACCTTTCTCGAGACCACCGAAAATTATACTTTACAATTTCAGCGCAAAAATCAGGTTTGTTTATCACGTCCCCGAGTCTCCACGCGTCCCCGAGTCCCTGCGTCCTGCGTCCCACGTTCTCGAGTCCCACTTCTCCGAGTCCCACGTCTCCGAGTCTCGCGTCCACGAGTCCCCGCGTCCCACATCCTCGAGTCCCACGTCCTCGAGTCCCACGTCCTCGAGTCCCACGTCCTCGAGTCCCACGTCCCAGTCCCACGTCCCAGTCCCTACGTCCCAGTCCCACTTTTAGTCACAGCCTCGTCGAATTTAATAAGATGCACCAACTCTAAAAAAGCAAGCTATTTACAAAATATCGAAATCCAAAATAACAAGTTCTCCCGAAGCCAAGCAAAACCTTCGTTGTAGAAAAATTGCTGACGATTTTTCTCAAACTCAGCACAAAATAAACTGCAGCTATTGAGTGCAACAAAATAACACAAAGTCTTCAACTTACCCCTTGAGTGGATCCACCGCAATCGCCCTTGGAAGACCCAAGTCTTTCCACAAGAGAACTTTGCGATAGGATCCATCAAAATTTGCAACTTCTATTCTGTTCGTTTCCCCGTCAGGATCTCTACGATCAGTCCAATACAACTTTTTTCCTACCCAATCTACGGCTAATCCTTCGGGCCTTTTCAAACCCACAGATATAACATCTTCAACTTTTCTTGAGTTAGGACTTCCCGTCATAAGAATTCGTTTGATTTTCTTAGCCCTGACATCCGTCCAAAATATGTATCCATCTTCGTAGCTGAAATCCACCGCGATAGCATTCAAAAGACCAACAGCTACGATAGTTTCATTTTGGTTCTTTTCATTTTGTCGTACTATTCTGATGTCTCTCCGGTTTGCGTATAAAATCCTTGGAGAAGTCGCTGTAAAAATAAAGAATTGGATTATAAGAGTTGCTGGCACGAAACTAGAACTAAAGAGTAAAATACCTGATTCATCACAAGCAATTTCTTAAAGACCAATCGAAGATAATTAAGTTAATAACTCCGTTTAGCGAAAAGAAACGTCTGGAAATATTTTGTTTTCATCGTAACGGCCAAAGGGTTTACACCTGAAGAAATATATTAAGTTAAACCTATCGCTTTCAACGGGCGTCATTACTCTGTAGTAATTCATCTCCGATGTTCTCCGAGGATTTGCTAAATGTTTTGTAAATAAACATGACAATAAAAGACTACTACTTTTCATGCAAGACGCACGTAGCCAGAAGCTAGCTTCGGGTTATTAAATCAAATGTGTAACACCGCGTACTTTATTCTTTATCTTCTCTGATTAAAGAGTATATCAGTCCTTTGAATCAGTTCGAATTGTAGTGCGAGGGTTAAGGTAAAGACGAATGTAAACTTTTCCTAAAATGCTCAGTGCATACCAACCAAACTCAGAGCGATCGGATCTCGCGTGGGGAGAACAGGTATTCTGCTAACACTTGAAACAGAAATCTACGAGTTTAATTCCCTCACGCTAGGAAAATTATACTCAACGATGTCTCATACAGAGCTTTTACTCTCGTCTTGCAGCATTCGTTCATCCTAAGCAGGTATTCTGAACATACAACGACCAAAAATATATCAAGATACCACGTGCAAATGAATCAGAGCATGAATGAGAGCAATGTTGTTGTTGTTATCTTGTTACTCGGAGAATTTCGATTCGCTCTTTGTGGCTTCTTCAACTTTCCCATGCATACAAATTGGTGTTTAGATCTTTAAACTACCAATTCGGGGAGGAGAAGAGATCAAATCACCATCTGAGAGCATCTGTGAATAAAGCCATCTAACAATCTATGCACTTACTTCAATGTCCAATCAATAATGGCTCAAAATGGACGACAACTACGGGTGTAAATTACAAGTTTTTAAGCACTAAAGATCTCTAAAAAAGAATCCAAATTCAACTGGTAATGGTCTACGAGTATTTCTTTGTTTAAAGGAATATTTTTTGTCACATGAAAAGCGAATCGACACAAGCAAGATAGAAATTTTGTCCGCCAAGCGAATCAATATCATAAGGCAGAAAATGACACATTCGCATAGGTATCGATCGCACTTACCTAAAGATATCCTATAATATAGGCAAACCAAGCAGATTAATGCTTTGAATTTCATCCTACGCTATCGGTGCGGTAGCTTTACCAGTAGAGACAGTCGTTAAGTGCTCCAAGGGGCAAATCAAACCACATACATCCACGAATCGACTTTCGAAGCAAACGGAAATCAGATCTTCACAAATAGCCTTATACTCGGCATTGTGCCAAACGTTTAAAGCGGAGAATTACCAACATTAATGAAAGAGGCTTTTTATAAGGCGTTTAATGATCCTGAGCGCTTAATGAACACAACCTCCTTGCAGCCAAAGGAAATAACTTTTTGATGTATTTCAATAGGGCATCATAGGACAACGTAAACAATGTGAAATCAAATTGCAGGGTCCGAGAAAGGCGAGATCCCCGACAGCAAATTATTTATGTTTCTACTCCATGTTGCATTTTCATGTTTTATGTGCTAAAGCAGATATCTTGCGTCGCCAGAAAAGGTCCACACATCGAGCTACTCGCAAAGTTCCTAAAAGAAACGAAAATAAATTTTTAAAACCGCCGTCGGTTCGTGGGCGTCGCAGTCGTGAAATATTAATTTTAAAAACTCCTGTCAAACTTGCAAATATAGAGAAGTGCTATAAGCATCAAGCATTGATCAGTCATAACAGCACCCTTCCTGAAAAAGAGTTATTTGTGCTTTTCGTGACGGTTGTTTTAGAGGGGTGTGAGGATGAAGAAGGCGAATGAGGATGCGGATGGTGGTTGGGCGTGGCGCTGAGGCACTTAGAGCGGAAGTCCACCGCAGAGATGATAATCTCGACCCAGACGAAAAATAATGAACAAAAATAGAAAAAATACACTTTGAGTGTTCATATATTTGGCCTCATTGTTGATAAGCATCACGAGCTGAGTAAGAGCTTATCCAATGACATTGTCACAACAGAAATAAATTGCCAAGTTAATGCATCCGAGATTGAGTTACTTGATCACCGTTGACAACCACGCGCAATGATAGTCTTCAACGGCCCAATTAATAACACTGACAGTCTTAAGAACTCCTTCATCATTAGCCATAGTATAGGTTACAGTATTTAGATAGTTTTTAACATAAATATATACTTCTGAACCTCTTTGTACCTTTATAATATCATGTTTTATGCTTTTTTATGAATCTTAGCTCACTTGGGTCAGTCACATAGACCCCCAGAAATTGATTTTGAATAAACGAGTTCAACTTCTATCTCTCCTTTCATCATCATATCTTGTTGTAAGCCAAATTCTTGAATTCCTGTTGATATTATTTTCAGCGACGATGTAAAGGTCATTCAAAGCATGCGATAATCCAAAAAAAGCAAGTAAACTTTTATATTTATTCTATTTATATTTGAGGAGTAAAATAAATCAATGTATGGAATGTAACCATTGTGCGTAGATTTCATTGTTCGTTTTTGAATAATCCTCGAATAAAATCTATAGAAAATATGATAAAAAGCCTATATTGCGTCGGGGGTTTTACTCTGATTATTTCAGCTTTAATACACAAGCTGCTAAAAGCGCGCAGCATGAAGTTCGATTTTTTTCCCGTTTTCCGTGAAAGTTCTGCTTCTGAGATATTAAAGAGCCTTTACTGATGGTAAAGATTGGTTTAGAGGAAACCGGTTTTATAACCGAAATATTGCCCTCCGCATGTCCTTTAACAAACGCTACACATACATACCGCATTAATTCGACTGAGTGCCCTGGGCGCTAATTGAATGTCTGGACCTCGATAGTGGCTGCTTATTTGAGTTGGGCGCTTCTCAAATTTTCATTATTTTCCGCAAGTAGTAAGTTTATTTCGCAGAAAAATGATAGATAGTAACAAAACGTTATGTTGTACTATAAACAACGAATTTAGAGATTCGGAAGAAGTAATTATTCAATACCCGTCTTTTGCACTTTTTTAACGGGGGGGGGGGGGGAAGTGGTGAACATCATCAACTTTTTTTTTTTTTTGGTAGGTGCAATTCAAAGGATAAAAGACCACAGTAGAGTTCCGCTGACTCAAACTCACAAGGGATACAAAGAGTAGTTCGAGTTTGCGGGAGGTTTGAGTATTGACTGAAAAAAAAATAAGGACAAGGGGAATCAGATCTTCTCTGGGTTCACGGGGAATTCGATTTAGCGGGTTTCTAATGAAGTAAATGACCCCCTGGTGCGAGAATCGCTGTGGCACCCGCCAAGTTAGTCCACTGCCACTTTACGCGATGAAAATAGAAATGAACCTACTGATGTGGGTTTAGGGTAATAGTCAAGTTTACGTATTTATTAAAGAATCAAAGGAAGTTTACACTTAAAAATATAGTATTTATGATTGCATTCAGTATTTCTGAGAGACAATTGTTTAAGTGCCACTTTTCTTCTCTTTAATCTTCATTCATTTTTGCCACAGTGTATGTTTTATTGTTACATTATGATTTTAGTGCGTTAAACAGAAGTGTTCGTATCTATTCAATGCTTACTCATATAAATTAAAGCCAAGCTATGCGTCAGCACAACGCATCGTCAAAGCAATTTCGGGATCAACGTCAGTATTTAAGCAAAAGCGCACCTACCCTCTCCTAACCTCAACAATAGTCAACTGATAACAAGTTAGGGTTAATGTTGGGTTAGGGGAGGGGTAGGTGCGCAGTTGTTCAGATACTGATAGATATAGTCCACGGGTCGTTTCTCAGAAGAGCGATTCTTTACGTTACTGTTGGAAATTTAAAAAAATTTTTACTTTTAACTTTTTTTTGGTGCAGTTTATCGCCCAATCAAAGGGGAAGGGGGAAAATCTATGTTACCGACGGAAAATTTCACACGCTTCTGAATCTTTTTAGCAATCATCTTGAGCTACTTCAAAGTATTCCATTAGCAACGGGATTGGCATCTCATTCTATTTTTGCCACTTCCTCCATGTAGGCGGCCAAAACCTTGGTCTGTTGACAAACACAATGAGGATGAATTCAATATTCCATAATACTGTCACAATGGAAGGTAACGTTAAGTTACTTTCGCTTAGTTTCACCTCGAAGATTTTCAAATTCACAAATATTCTTCAAAGGTGTCCAATTAAAAACACTTCTTGTGCACAAAAACCTGTACCAACTTGAAATAGAAATAGGCTCGGTTACATTTCTCAGAGCCCAATCTTCCTTTCGCGCAGAGGAAAACCAGACCAGAGTGAGCAGAAGAAATCGAGCCAAAGGGAATGATATCAGTTGTTAAAAACATGATGAAAGGCGATTGTGGGCGATATCCAGCAGGATATCTAGTGAGAGGTGGAGGGTGTTATGCTACCCCTAAACTCCCATGATCATAATTAGGACTTATCCTCTCTAATATATAGATTTAGCCAAGCCTAAAAGCGGAGCTCGCGTTTTTTTTTCCCGCACGTCCCAAGGGCACAACGCCTTGCCCCGGCCAGGACTAGAACCCGGGTCGTCCGACTCGGAGCCCAGTGCACTGACCACTGGACTACTGGACAAAGCCGTGGCGTTGGCGTGCCCGCAGTACAGTTGACCACGCATGTTAAAAGTAGCACTTTGTACGGTCGTACGGTCGTAAGTCCAAATTTTTTCGGCTTGATGGGTTACTACTACCATTTTGTATAATTATGGGGCTACGCTCTGCGAGCTCCGCTATTAGTGTACCTTTCCACAGAGATTAGTTATAAGAATTGAAGCTATATCAGAATTTATCAATATAAAGGAAAAGCATACTAGGTAAGAAGTATTAACAATTTGATAACGTTCACCGAGGGATAGGCCCAATGGTCTGCCATGAATGCATGTATCCGGTAAATCAGTCTGTAAAGCTGACTGACATCGTCTCTTGGCTGCGTAAAAACGCTTAACATACACGTGAAACTGACGTGCATACATGCCAGAACTGAACCCAATTCGTAAGGCGAAAAGCTCCTGGGATTATTGCAACTCATCTTTGATGGACTCCTAGTCCATTGTGGGAATCCAGGCCTACTTCTTCTTATCATTTCGATGGCAAATTTAATGAAAAAGCTAAAATACTTACTCCTTCAATGTAGTTCTTTCGATCCATCTTTTCATTCTGTGAGTGCGCGCCATCATCACACGCTCCAAGTGGCAGCAGCATCACATTCTTTCCAGTGGCTTCCTGCAGGGTTAGGGTCACCGGGATGCTTCCACCTTCACGGGTCATGTCGGGCTCAGAACCAAATACTTTAAAGAAGAAATAAACACGGTACTGACTTATAATCAAGATGACTGATTGTGTGACTTCCGTTTTCTGCGCCGAGCTCAAAAAATTCGTGGCAGTTTTCTCCGTCGTGCAATGGTCACGTTTAAACGTGACTCCAGTTATTACTGTCATGCATCTATCACGTGACAGAGCAATCAAAACATAGCATTGCCTTACACTAAAAATTGTTGATTGTGTACCTGTCATAAGAGCCTTCTTTGCCGCCTGGTAGTTCCCGTGGTTGAAGTCACTCACCCATGGCCGCCCTCCGTGTCCCATGCTCACACTGGAAGAGCAATAACAAGAAAAAAAAAGTTTAGATTGCATCTGTGAGATCTTGACGAAATAAATCTGCATACAGAGCTGACTCTCCTCACAGCCGGAGTTTATCCCTGTTTCTATAGCATGAAGCCACTAAAAGCATTTCTTCTTCTCTTGGACGGACGCTGGGCCATCAAAAGTTAACCCCCCCCCCTTCCCTCCCCATCCCTCCCCTTCTCCCCAATTCATTCAGTTACCCTGTTAGTTCTTTGGCACCCATTTATACGATTGCGGGGAGAGAGGCTCTGTAGGAGTGAGGTGGTATGAGCAATGCTGCTTAAGTTACACAATACCATGATAAAGATTTCTCGTCAAGATTATTTTTGTTACTATATAAGCCATTGCACGTGTAAGAATGGTAAAGAAGAAGTGACGAAGAAGACCATAACAAAACCAAGGTTCGTACTAACAAGAACTAAATCTCAAATAGTAACAAACGCATTACCAAAGCAAATTATCTAGTTTTATTTTTCAATTCTTTTTCATTTACATAAAAATAAAGTTTTAAAATTATAAGCATTTGTGAGAGTAATATATGGCCAACATGATATGTAGTCGACGCTAAATAATATGGAACATAAAAATAGACCAACCAGACAGAATGAGTGATGAAATATTAGTGATGAAATGAGATAAGCGTCAGAGGATCTCATTAAACGCAAACGCAGTTATGATCGCGTGTTATACGTGATCAACTTTCGTTATGCGTGATGAGCTCGTGAAGCAAGATAAAATCCCGTCAATCCTATCATTCCCAAGATTTCATTAATAATTCTCCTTACCGCTTACATTCAGATGATGCTAGTGCGCACAATCTGGTATTTGATCAACTAGCAGTCCTTTAATTGATATTTTCCTTCATTCTTATCACTTATCTTCTCGATGTTGTGTTGATATTGTCTGAACAAAATTCTGTCTTGATCACTTACGGGAGTTGTTTAAGTACCAAAAATCGCTGTAGAGAAATTTAGTATCAAAGTGTTGAAAAATCACTGTACAACATATATTCGACAGGTGAATTAGCTTGCGCTCCACGCCAAGCCTTGATATCACTCTTTAACATGACCAAGTTCTTCCAAATACGCGGCTAGGGCTTTGGTCTGCAAAAGAAAATAGTAAAACAACAATAATGTTGATAACTTTAGAACTCGACATCAGCTGTCAAAATTCTCTTTAATTAATAGTAGGTTGGGGTTTATTTCAAACCTCGTTATTGTCCAAGCTGTGACGCACTTTATTTTCTACGAGATTCATCTTCAATCTCGCTCTCTTCATCAAGAAAATATTCAGAAGGGGCGAGTGTAAAAGGGTTGGGGGGGGGGGAGGGTGAGACGTGGCAACTGGAACTCTGCTAGATAAAAAACACATGACCCACCCCCATGGGTCGCTGAAAATTGAGCGACCCAACCCTCTCAAAAACTATCGCTCTGACGAAGGGTTAACGCTCGGAACGTCAGCCTTTAAACTCTTTACGGTGGCCAACTTACGTTATCAACTCAGTTGATAGCACTAAATTACCCTGATATACTCTCCCACCGACGCAGCACCACAGTTTCTTTAGAGACTTACCCCACTCTCAAAAATTGATGATCAACTCTCTCTCAGCTCCAGCCCACACTAACCCCATACTTTCCCAGCAGTCGCTTACGATATTTTATATAACAGGGAATAATTTTATCCCTACTCTCTCTCGTCACTTGGTAAGGCCAAAGGTATGTATTTAACAAATAACATAGCACCCCTAAAATAAAGACCATATAATTGCTTTTGATTTTAACGGTCGCGCACAATCGATTAATAACCCGGCTTAAAATATACACATCCTTGTAGGCCATTTCCGAGAAGACTAAAATCTCTCTTTTCAATCGGGGTTTAGTGCAGAGTCGTGGATACGCGAGCGATGTTTTACACTGGTCCACTCAGCCTTAATTTGAGAGTTAGAGCTTTTCAGAACCAAAAAATGGCCTATAGTCTTGTTTTTAACAACAACAGAAGGTTAAAAAAATCAGGAGGAAAAGCAGGTACTTACTCCTTGGATGTAGTTGGTGATGTTTATTTTCTCGTTCTGGGAGTGCGCGCCATCATCACATGCGCCTATCGGTAGAAGTACGATGTTCTTTTGCAAGGCGTCCTGTAGAGCCAAGGTCACAGGAATACTACACCCGTCACGAGTCAAATCCGGATCAACACCATGAACTATTTAAAAAAATCCCAAAGAAAGACTGAGTCCTTTCTTAAGAAATTTCGATCTTAAGATGAGAGATCAATCTTTGGCCCTCAGTAATTATAATTCACGTTTCTGAAAGAGGTAAATAGTGACGTTTCTTAGTTACTTTATGCGCCGTTCAAAACCACACTGTAAAAACACATAGTGGTAATACAACCTTATAACCAGGGCCCTCTCTCTTTTTCCCTCGCGAAAGCACTTTCTCTGTGGAGGAAGAGAGAGGGCCCTGGAAATGAGGTTGAGAGGAAGAAGAAAATATCGTGACACCAAACGAATCACAGCGCCATACCACAAAAAGAAAAACATCACAGAGGGCCAGTTAGGACTCAGAGTAACAACAAACAAGCTGCCCTAGGCGCGGAAAAACACGAGGCAGTAACCGAATAGCGATTGGTTTAAATTTACATTTGATTGGTTGAGGAAGTGGCACGATTTCTCGGGAAAAATCACTGAGTGAAATAAAGCTAAACGAGAGCAATCCCAGATTACTTTCGACAGCACATAGAAATCTGCTCAAACAAGCAGCAAGGATGCCAAGAAGCAAAATGAATGGTTTCAGATAGAGACGATTTAAAAAAAAAAATTGAAAACTTAACATGCAGGAGACGTGATTTCGTCCTTAAGAACGGAGCCCAATCTCTTAACGTTAAGAAAATCTCATAAGAAAATCAAAAGTGTTTTTTTCTTTACTTAAAGAATATGGAAAAAAATCCAGATCGTAACTTACCAGTTTTCAACGCTCTTCTAGCCGCTTGATAATTGACATGATTGATGTCACTAACCCATGGTGGACCACAATGATGAACGCTGACCCTGAAAGTGTGTCACGCGGACGTCTTTACAACTCTGTCAACCCGAGCAACGATAAAACGACAAACTGCAGAAGGTCCGTTTGGGCTCCGAAGCAATTTTCAATTATTCTCTGACAACTATCGGTTCACAGGCGCAGAAAAATTAAACTGCTGACGCAAGTTAATGAAAAGAAAGTTGCCTTCTACTTTCGATCTTTTTCTCTGTTCCAATCGCCGAACTAAAGCTTAAGAGTGTCCAATTTGATATGCTGTGAAGGAGTATAAATGCGGTATTCGGGGAGATGTTTACAGAACAAGTGACTTTGAAAGCCATAGTGCAACGGATTTATTACTTAAAACCTCTTACGAAGTTATCATATTTTTGCATTGTTTCTTTAGAATAAAGCTCACTTATCACTTGGAAAAAACGCGTGATTTATGATATGGCTTCTAGAAGTACCGAGAGAGCGTGCACCTCGAGGAATGGTTGGGTAAAAAGAGAGGGGACTGGGTGGGGTTCCACTGCAAGGCTGGCTGGGATACTTGTAAAGATTGGAGTCTTTTTCGTATCAAAGATATTTCCCTTTCGATAAAATAATAGGGCTAAAACTGAAACTAAAGGTAGGATTTATCTTTTAGGACTCTTTCATTAAGGGACAAATATTGGTCCCATAATGCTCTTGTAACCTTTACATCAGCTACATTTTAATAGAAAATAAACGTCTATCGAGGGAAAAACTAATTAACAAGGGAATTTAGGAGTGGACATTCCACACGGTGGCTCTTCTCGTCCACTGTTTCCAGATCGAATTGAAATTGAGAATGTTGGTTTTTTGCGGAAGGACCCGGAGAAAAACCCGAGGACCCGGAGAAAAACCCGAGGACCCGTAGATAAACCCGTGTTGCAAGGACGAAAGCCAACAACAAACCCAACCTAACTGTCACGCCAGGTCCGGGAATCGAACCCGGGCAACAGCGGTGGAAGACTAGTGCTCCAACTTAAAGCTCAGAGTGTGTTTAAAGCAAGGAACACTTCTACTCCGGGGACCCTTTCCCTGCTTCCGCGGTTGTCCCCTAAATGAAGCGTACAGTCTCCGAGAAATATAACATTCCTTAAGACAATTGAACAATGTAGCTAACTTACGACAGTGGGTTTGGACTTCCTCTTTGCTCATGAAGTTTCTTGATGTAGTTGCACACAGTCTCGTCCACCTCTTCTGGCGTCATATCAGGCACCAAACGGATGGAGAACTTGCCAATCACCTGAAAAGCAAAACCAATCACATCGAAAACAAAAAGACACCTTAGCCATATCACAAATGATAGGTAAAGCGCGTCAGGATCGCCGACTTGTTATCAATCATTGCACAAAAGGCAATGGTAATGAGTCTTCCCATCACCCTCAGCGAGTACTACGGCTTTCCTCTTCAAAAAATTAGAGGAGGAGGGAGGAGTTCAAATTTAAATTGACGTTCTTTCCCAGTGATAATTGTGGTTCTTCATCTTTTGATAAATGAAGTTTCAAATTTACATACCTTTCTGGGAATAACTGTCTTTGAGCCAGGCTCGTAAAAGGCTCCTTCGATGCCTGAAATTCGAGGGAGATAAAAGTTTGAAAACGCAATGTTACGTGGAGGGCAACTTCAAACCACTCCTACGAAGCTGGTACGAACTAACTCAACTTTGAGGCTTATTCAATTTAAACAAGCTAAAAATATTAAGATAAATTTACACTAGCAACGCGTGTCAAGGAAAAATTTTAGCAACTTGTCTACGAAAACTTCCTCATAAGAATATAGTAGGAATTTCGGTCAATTTGTCAAGTATTCAATTATCTACTACAGATCGTATGGTGTATTTCGTAACCCTCGCAATACTCCCTCCCCCAAAATTAAGATTTGCGAGCGCATTGGAATAGTTTAGAATACGGTCGAATGTCGGCATGCTCGATCAAATATTTTAACAGAACAGAATTGAACAGGATTGAATTTAGACGTATTTGGGAACCTTTAGTGTGTTTCATTCAGAACCATACTAGACAAATTCGACCAGACAATTTTAATATGTGACAGGCTCCTTGATTAGAAACTAGCCCATCGGTTTAACTTCGACTAGAAGCAAGTGGATGTCATGACGAGCCGCGCAGGGTTCCAGACAACGTTCTCTCTTGGGATAATTTTGTTTTATCAACTGAGTTGAAATCGGTAAATTGGCCACTGTGAAGAGTTTCTAAAGCTGAAGTTTCGAACGTCAGCCCTTCATCAGCTTTGGAGACTCTTTACGGTGGCCAGTTTTTTACCCCTTTTCTTGAATATTCTACTATCTGAAACAACTAGTTGATGTAAAATAAGCAACTCGATCAATACCGTGAATAGACAGGGAAGGGTAACGCCAACGACGCATCAGCACTTCCTCCTTAGAGTTATGAATAAGTTTTTTATGACCAAGGTCCTGACGATACTCCTCCTAAGGAAAAGAAAACAGACCAGGAAGCAAAGTAATTTTAGCGTCATTGAAAACCCATAAAATAAGACTATAGGCGAAAAGAAACCTAGAAATGCTATGCTTCGCTCTACCAAGCACAAGAATTGATTTACAAAACTGGCCCCTCTCTCTCAACCGTGCATATACCAAATTAACTGCGAATCGGTCACTCGGCTTTCCCACGCCTAGACCAGTTACGTTCATTCGCTTTGACTTGTGATTGGCTCCGTCTGATAGTTACATCATACGCCACGATAAGGCCCCAAAGAGCTTTATACAGTACATTGGGGAAATACGGGCTTCTGATTGGTGTATCTGTACCTCGTGGTACAAAATACCGCTCTCTGATTGATTGCGCGGTATATGAACGTGCATCATAACTTCTCGCGGGTGAAGAAACGTTCGTGCTGATGCGCTAATAATAATAATTAGACCCAGCACGCAGACTAGAGAAGAAAAAAAATACGTAAGCTTTGCTGTTGACTGACCTTGTCAAAGTCAATATCTGTATAAGTTGCTCTTTCATCGTCAGTTAAGGGCAAGACTTTGTCGTTGATCCCAGGAATCAAGATGTTCCCCTTAAGGTCCACCAAGTTGTTCAGGAGATAAATCAGATCCGTCATTGCCTCGTGTCTGTGTTAGAGAGAATGGTGTTCATGGGACAATTTCCAAATGAGTGCCAAAAGGATATTGCTTTGACAGGATAATTTGGTGTTATCAACAGAGTTGATAATGTCAATTGGTCACCGTAAAGAGTTTCTAAGCTGACTTCTTGAGCGTTGGCCCTTCGTCATTCGCCCTCACGAAGGGCTAACGCTCGAAACGTCGGCTTAGAAACTCTTTACTGCGGCCAATTTTACATAATCAACCCATTTGATTAAAAAACATTATCTTCTTACACTCCCCCAACGACACAGCACCACAGTTTTACATAACTTCAAACCATTTGATATGACTGGTCCAAAAAAAAAACGATTCCATTCAAAATTAAAATCAATTACGACTTGATCACTCGCCTTCAACGACACTGTATTCTGATTGGATGATGTTATTGCTTTAGACTCGGAAAGCTTGACAGTAAAAGTGGATTAAACACGACTAAATATTCTACTGTTACAGCGATTTCCATTGGCCAGGAGTCATTCACAGTCCTACTTGTCCGAGGTCCTTGCGTTTAAAGATCATTTACGAGTGAACGGACAAGCCAGACCAGACTATCAATTAATGAAAAACCATCCAACTAGATCAGTCAATTCCTAAATTATATTGGAGATGAGATATTCTGATGTTTTTTTATACACTTAGGGAACTCTCTAAATAAGATTACAAGCATTCAAGAGAAAGCAGTTTGGAAGCAAGCTACTGAAAATAAGAAGGTCTTCTACTCACACTGTTCCACCAAAGACTCCAGAATGCAGATCTTTTGATGCACAACTAACCTCCACAAAAAAGTAACAGATACCTCTGTGAAAGAAAAACAAGAAAAGCAAAACTGTGAGAAAAAAGGTACGCTTTAAACTTGGATTTAACTGTTTCATTGTCTGTCCTGGGGCTTCCTCAGTGTGGTTTTATTCTTTGATGACCACTTTGCATGAATTTGTGTACTTACTGTGGTAGAAAAAGTATATACCTATGGACATCCAAAATGTACCAGTGGAAAGGAAAATGCAATTTGCAATTGAGCTTTAAAGGCAATCCAGAATTGCTACAACATAACAAAAGTTTTTTTGCCGCACTTCAATCCGCAATTGTTGTAAAAAAACTTTCATTGCACACCTAGCCAATCAGATACAACAATAAAACAAATTGCAACTTGGTCACTTGCATTTTCTCAACGTGAGAATGTTAATACCTAGCTGCATCGTTTTTTGTTAAGCTATTGTGACAACATCTTTTTTTAGTCTTAAGATCCTCAACTGAAATACAGTCTGATCATTTGATAGTGTACTGTGATTTTACAGGTGAGTGAAGTCCTGAGAAGGACTGTTGTGGGTGGTGGTGACTGACATTTCAACAACCTGAATGGAAGTCATCATCAGAGTCAAGTGAACGGTTGTTGTGCAACTGTTTACTTTATTCATTATATATTCATTTGACTCTGATGGTGACTTCTGCTCAGGTTGTCGAAACCTCAGTCACCACTACTGACAACAGTCATTCTCAGGGCTACACTCACCCAGACAATCAAACTACACTATCACATGTTACCCCCAGGTTCAAATCTTTATGGCCCAATGAATGGATAATGCAAATTAAATACATGTTACATGGCTGGTAAATTTGTTCAATCAAATTCAGCTGATAAAATGTTCCTCGTATTCCCATTGCACACACTATTGACCAGGGTTTATGAATTGCAGCATAGAAGAGTGAACTTTTCTTTATCCAACATCAACAAAACTGTTTTAAAAATTTCATTTAACAATTGATCATGCATCAAAGGTGCATTCAGCAAAACACTGAGCACGTGAGAAGTTTGGAGAGCGCTAAAGAAGCTTAAGTTGTGCAAGAAACTCTTAGGTGTCTTTCATGCTCTCTGAACTTACTGCATGGTCCATTTCTCAATGAGTAAAAGATGAGCCAAGTGTTAAATCATATATTTCACTTTACCTCAATCCATAAGTGATACATGGCTTCCTTTTTCCCAACCAGTAGTTGTCAGAGATACAAACATAATCAACAGGCTGCAAATGTATGTTAACATTTTATTAGGAAGTTTAAAAAAAACATGACAGCAACAGCAATGGGAACATCACTGAACAAAAGGTCTAATGAGCAGAACAATGGCTGTGCACATGCATTATAAATCTTTGTAAGTTTCTTTGTGTCCTCTGCAAAAAAACGAAATGATATGACCAAACTTTGTGTTGTCTGGAGAGCATGAATGACAACAGCTTATTTTTTAAATTTCTATTTCCAATTTAATGTTGTGTTCCATTTTCAGTTTTGAGATAGTTTGACAATGAGAAACAAACTAAATGATTTACAAGAATTTTGAGATTCATAAGTAAAACATAAGTTCATTTTTAACCAATGTTGTCCACGGCATAGCCTTCATTATTTCTTTAACTCCCTATAAATTACTAATTAATCCCAAATCAATAACTTGTGTAAAACTGTTGATCATTTCAGATGGTTATTTGGGTTTGGGTAGTTCTGCAAGGTCTAATGTCAGGAACAATGACTAATTCATGGACAGCCACTAGAGCCTAAGTACACCATCCACAAAGTATTCAACTATATCTACAGGTGAAAAATCAGCTAATGGTATCAATAACATACTGAACAAAAGTAGCTGCATTTCCTAAATGTGCAGTATAACGATCATGTTAATCAAACCTTGAAGAAGGTGTCCTTCTTGCTGTGGATCAGCTTATCCAGACCTTCACTGCCTGATTCTTCCATTCCTTCAAACACAAACTAGTAGAAAAAATACAATATAGGCAGTTAACATGTTTCTGTTGAACAATTTGCAGGGTTATCATAATCATAATTATCAATTATCATACCTTGCCGATAATTGATTTTTGTTGGTCTCCAGCTCTTTTTAAACCTTTGTATACTTTGTATACTCAGTCACTGTTATTACTCACATTACTTCTAAGCGAACAATATGTTGACTTTCAAGTTATTCTTTGAACAGTCTTTCCAAAAAATGAGGCTTACCCTTAAATTGATTGGCAACTCATTACCAGTCTTCTGGTATGCTTCAATAGCATTCAGCCATGCAAGCACTGGACCCTAAATAAGTGGTAAAAAAGAGATGTGAATGGCTGGATGATTTCCAGCAGACCTGCCTTAATTAGTATTTACCATCAGCAGGCTGGCTCATATTACTTTCTTCCACAAGATCACATGTTAGCATTCTATGAAAGTATTTAAGGTTTCCTTGTCTTACAAATATTTCTTTGCCTTTTTAGACCTTTTTTTAATGAATATGTTTTATGTTTTTTCTCCTTCTTCTACCTTATCATCAGTGGATCCACGACCATAAAGCTTCCCATCAATTTCTGTCAGGGTAAAAGGATCTGTGTCCCATCCATCTTCCTAGAAAAATGTTAATCATAATGGATATTATTTATTTTTCAACAGATATAAGTAATGTGGAGATATCACTGGTTAGTTGTTGTTGGCTGCCAGTTCTACATGGCTTCTTGTACATCTTCTCAAGTAAATTTCCTCCATAAATGCTTATTACCCTTGACCCTGACATCAGTATGCATATTCTCCTTACTGTTCTTTATACATTTCCTTAAGTGCTGACATGGAGAATTTGTTTATCGAGCAAGAGCTCCTTTAGAAGGTGATAATTTCTCTGACATTGATGTTTCATTGAGGGTGATATTGTAAGCAGAAATTAGATACTTATAACTGTCAGGGGTCAAAGGCTGTGCAGCTCAAAAGCCAGTAAGTACACTTCAAGATATCCACCAGTTGTCATTTTCCTTCAGCACTTAATAAGCTCTCTTGCATGTCAACATATGCAAAAGTGGGGGGCTGGGGAAGAGGGTGGTTGGAGCCTCGGAGAACAGGGCCAGGAGAGGCCAGGAAAAGGTGGGAAGCAGGATCTACAAGAGGAAAGCCAAGGCAGAAATTAAAAACTTTAAGGCAATCATTTGTTGTATATTTACTGTTTATCATTCAGCCAAAAACCTGTACCCAGCAGAGTTTTATTACTTTCATTTAACATCCACTGAGGCTAAAAGAAAATTTTATACAAGAGAAAACATAAATTTATACTCAGCCAGTGTAATCTGATACCTCACAAAGTCAGTTGCATTATAGGTCATGAATAAGATAACATAAAACATGCACAGAGTGTCAGCAGTTGTAGGAGTTGAAATTCCCCAGGAAACAAAATGAGTCAGGTCAAATGTCATAAGGCCATATTGATCAGCCTTGATATTTTTCAGTGTGACAACAGAAAATCAGTTCATAGAACACCTTGTTTCCCCAAATGCCTTTTGTTAACATCTGACGATCACCTACATGTCACTGAATTATACTGCTGGTGTATATTAATAAATCAGATAGCATATGTACAACTTTTAAACCTTTCTGCAGAGGTTTAGAGAAGATTTCAACTTCTCAAAGAAATCTGAATAGAAATAAGAGAGATGATAAGTCTTGAGCTTGGTAAAGAAATAAAGAAAGACGTTTTTTGTCTTGTCACGAACTTGGGACAAAGAAAATTTAAAATATGATAACCAGCCAAACAATCATGCGCTGTATTGTTCTGCCAGAGCTTAACCTGAACACTCAGAAATGCAAATGGTTAGTTCATGGGTAGCAATATGAATCATTCCTTGAAGCCAGCTTTTATATAGTTCATCACTATAGCTACATCCAACAAAAACCAAAAAAATCAAACAAAATGGATATGCAATTAATTAAATAAATAGAAGCAAAGCCAAATTAGACAGGAGTGTTGAACTGTAAATGGCACAATTGGCTCTTAAATTTCATTTCTTAATAGTATGATCCTGGTAATTTCTGGACTCCTAAATATATGCAAATACATATTTGAAACTGCAACTATAGCTATCAGTGCATAATGGACTGAGACATCCCAGTCACTATAGTGAGATGTTAGATGTGATAGTCAAACTGCAATAACCAGCTCAATGAAAACTTAGTGTTTTGTAGCCTGTAATAATGTTCATCTTGAGAAAATTACAGGGTGTACCTACCCTACCCACCAAAAGATTTGCAAGGCCAGAGAAAATTCAAGAAGGCAGGAGTAATGCAGTGAAGGGTGGGAGTTGGGAGGCAAAGGGTTGCAAAAGTATGGGAGGTGGGAGAACATGGTATGGGAAGTGCAAGGCTGTGAGCCCCCTGTCTCTACCCCTCCCTCCCCCCCCTCCTCCCCCTTCACCAACTGGCTAAGGAAACTTTCAGAGGTTACAGTTCAGTACCATAATCAGTTTTCTCCTTTTTGTGAGCTCCACTAAGGCCAACAGCCAAAAGAAAAACACAGACCCCATCAATCTTATCTTAAGGACTTAGTATACCTTTATGGTGTTCTTTGCACAAAAAATTGTTACCATGCTTTTTAAAGTGCAACCATCATAAACTAGATATAAGTGGACACATTTAAAAATGCACAAGCCAGAAAAAAATGGCCAAGAACACAACACAATTACCCCAGACAGGTCTGACCAGTCTTCTTTTTTCAGAATTCAATTCAATAAAGCCACCCCATCTTGTGCTCATGTCAGGTAACTGACTTCGAATAACATTCAATTTACTCAAATCCACCAACCCAAAAAATTTACATAGTACTTACCAATTTTGCTGGTTGAACATCAAGATGCCCATAAACACAGAGCTGCAAGAAGCAAATGCTACTAAAATAATTGATAAAAAAAATATGTACCACTATTTCATTCCTTTAAGTGCTTCACTGTGAAATGGAAACCTTTATAAAACAGAGATACAAAGCATGCACTAAGTGGTTTAAAACCCATATATTTTTTAATTGGTTTACTTATAATAATAGTGCCTAGTTTAACAGAAACAATTGACAACACTTTCTTTTAATTTTTAAAAATCCTACATGGGTTAAAAGGCCAATGAAGTAATATACAGAGTGCAGTCTATCATGGATAAATGAACTGAATTAAAATTAAAAACTGGAGGTAAAAAACTACAGGAGCAGTCATTAAATCTTTATCCAGGTAAAACTCTCTGATAGAAAAATACCAAACCTAAACTTCCAAGTTTAAATTGACAGTTCAACAATGAAGACTAATGAGATAGTGACTCACTGTTTTCTTGGCAGGATCCTTTCCAAGTTTTCCCAATAGTACTGGTGGCAATGGAATGTTGGCACCATGCTGCATGCCGAGGTCCGCTAACTCAACCTCACCTCCAAGACTTATCAGTTCCTGTTGAAGAAATTGTGCAGCATTACTCTTGTTGGAAAAAAAAAATTGTGTGACCGCCATGCTGAAAAGTGAACTTTGACTTATGGCACAAAGTGATGTAAGTGATAAGGTGTAATTAAGTGAACTGCAAAATGTGCCAGTTGATCAGAAGAGATCTAAGTTATTATCAGTTGAAAATATAGAATGATTTGAGTTTTTGTGTGGTTGATTTTAACAGAAAGAAGCAAAAATCACCCGTGTTAGTTGTGATCCAAAGATTCCTGACACCCTGAAAACTGGCATGAAATTATTCTTAGACTTTTTCTTAATCAGTATATGCTTTTACTTCTCAAAGGACCTAGAACAAAATGTATCATCCTGTCCTGACCAATATAACTCAGTCAATAAAGATTTTATCACATGATTTTAACATATGATCTCTATACTTTCTTTATCTTGCTTATTTTGTTTGCCTTAGATCTTACAGGGTCAGACGGCTTTTTTGTTTTTTCAGCCCAGCACAATTAACATGCCTCAATATGTTTTTAAACAAAGGCCTGCATAGGGCTGGTCACATGATATAACAGGAAACTATGCTTTGCACATACGTCTTTCACTTGGTTGATCATCCTGACAATATTATCTCTGTATGGAGGATATGTCCATCCTGAGACACTTTGAATTGCAACAGCATCACTGAGCCTTTGCACATAAAGATCCTATAGATAAAGTTATTATACATTAGACTTACATGGAGAAGTCTGATTGGTTGAGAGCAGTCAATAACTAAAATAACTTGTGAAGTTGACATGTTCAAGTTTCCAAGCCCCTCATCTGTGCAGTGCTCCCAAACTTTTGCAAACTCACAGAAAAGTGCCCAATATTGATTGTCATGCAACTTCTCTACGCAATATCTTCCTCTTATTTAAAAAAACAGCAGGCGATATACTGGACATAGGGTCTATATTCCAGCCCGTTGCAGAACTTATATTTTCTCGCTTCCGCCCTCACAAATAATCAGTGGCCTTCCATCAGTTAGAGTTACTGTGATACATGTTAAAATATCAAAAAACCATTGATGATTTAAGAGACCTGATTACCAGTAACCACCTTTCTTATAATTTTAGACAACTGGCGCTGTCATGAAGGCAAGTTTTTGGAACGAGTGGCTTAAAGTACCTAAAAGAAAAGCGAGATCACTTACCTGATGCTCGTCGACGTAACTACGGTATTTGCAAGAAATTAAAGCAACATTCGATCAGTATAAAAGGAAACAAAAATGCGATTTACGTTTGAATAAAATTACCGTCATCCTAAAGTGTATTACTAACATAAAATCATCCAAACTTACTTGAAAATTGCCTTAAGGTTTGGAGAACGCCCCGCCATCTCGTATTATTCAAAGAGAAATTTAAAGTAGAAGTCTTAGGTCAATCAAGCCAAAACAGGAAAACGTGGGTAGCACGAAATTCTTGCCTAGGGAGTAGAGTGTGAAATACTACTTTTTGCTCAGGAGAATATTTTTCAATATTTGCATACTTTAGATCTATGCAACACAGAAGAACAGTATATTTAACTTTTTCTTTTCTATACTAATTAACAAACAATGAAGTTTTGTCTTAAGACCTCAGAGATGTCAAGATAAAGATCAAGAAGACCCTTTTTACCCCCTCCCCCTCATAAATGGCAATGATTGGCCTCGTTTTAAAACATTTTACCAGATTGCACGCCGCAATGTAGTAAGCTCCCTACCCTGGTCAAATTTTATTGTCACTTAAGTGTAATGGGCCGCCATTTTGGAAGCATGGAGTGGAGAGAAGACTGAGCGAGCAAGCTTCTCAGCATCACGCCTTCTAATAACCGACTTTTCAAGTTTCGACGGAAGGCTACGAAATTCCAAAGCAGATTTGGTGGTTTTCAAGGGTTATTTCAGTTGTCTACGTCTGTCCATTGAATAGGTGAATTGTTGTCGATTTCGCTTCCTAAGACAGATGCTCTCTTTATATTTTCATGTTTTATGAATAAGGGATCAATCGGGGGTTAAAATTTCAAATAAAATAGGTTGTAGTAAGCATATTATGGGGAGTGCCAAAAAGTGACCGAGTCTTAGTGTGCGCGAATATTGTGAATCTTTACCTAACTTTAAGAGAGCGATCGATCAAAGGTTCTTGATATACAGCTATGCTTTAACATGAACGCGGTCAGTTCGTCACTGCTTTTCGTTCGTGCCTTTTTGCTTTATTGTGTACCGCCTTAGGGCAGATGTTGTAACTTTGTCCTTGGAGTACCATGTTGATGTAGAATTTCAACTTACGACCCGAGACAAGACTTAACGATCGCAAGTGATATGGGGTAAGTCGGGTCACTTCGTCACCAAGAATCCATTTGCGTAAATCTGTATTTTGGAGATGATTTCTTCAATGACGTAAATAATTGTAAGATCCGACGTGTTTGGTGTGAGACCTTTGCGACTTGACCCATGATTGATACTGGGTCACATAGGCCATCAAAGGGTGAATTACTAATAATCACATGGACACTAGTTTAGGGTGATATGTACTCTTATCGACAATGATATCCCTTGCCACAGCTTATGTTTGCTGGATTTTGTGTGTAATGTTACCAGGTCTAGTTTGTGGTGTGATTGTTGTTGTTTTTGTTGTTGTTGTTGTTGTTGGGTTTGTCTGCTACTTGAATGAAATCCAGGTGTAGCAGTGACATGGCGTATTTTGTATGATGTAGCAATCTATTGTCAAGTTGGATTTACCCTTTTTATGTGAGAAGTTAGCTTTAAAATAGTTAAATGAGAAATTTGTTTGCTGTAACATTTCTCACTCATCCAACAGTTCCATGAATAACAAAATTCCAGGATCTAACATGTTCAGTTATAACTTGGGCCTGAAAGAATTAATTTTGAGTAGTACTTGGGAAATGCATCGTTATCTTCAGTTAGTAAATTGTCAGATCAGTGGATTATGGATCATAACCACGGCAAAAATGTAGACAACACCATTACAGTCAACAGACTGAGGGAATCCACTCTTTAGAACTCACAGTCTGTTAGAAAATAATGTTATGATCATCTAAGCACATGCTATCAGGAAATAGGGATGTGCTTGTTACCAATTCTTTTGTATGTGTTTTTAAGCTTTGGGGAATTATGAAGATATTAAGCATTGTAATCTATCAAATATTTTTGCTCAAAGACATACAAGATTGGCCTTAATGCATTACTTGATGTGATTTGCTCCTGTTAAAACCGGGAATATCTGGTGGTAACCCTCATGCTATATTCCCAAATTTTCAAATTTAACTTTTGATACTATAGATGCCTTTGTTTAAAATGTAGTTCAAGATGGGATGGGCAGTAATACCTAATTACTTAAAGTTGCATGCCTTGAAAGTTATGTTATATCTATATAAAGCCCTACTTAAAAACAGAAAAAGGTGACAGGACAGAAACTTTAACTGACATTAAATTTACTAACCATAGGTACATGATAAAATTAAAAAACATAATAACCATATTATGAAGGGTACTTAGCAAACCTAATAGCAAAGTATTGTATTTTTGTTTTAAATAGAAAGCATGAAATGTAAAACAAGTTATTTTAGCTATGAAATGATTTAGTCACTCAACACATTTTGTTGTATTGAAATGGATGTTGAAGGACTGTATTGAAACAAAATTAATGTTTTGATCGATATTGTTTTGATTGGAGGGGTGGGGGGGGGAGGGGGTTGGGAGTTACTGTATTTCCAAGTTATTTTTACTTAAAAAAAAAATAGGAAAAAAAAGAACTATCATCTACTCCTTGTGAGAGGGAAGGAAGGTTTTTATAGATCAATTTTGTTGGACTTGTAATGAAAGAGAGTTCTACACTATAATCTGAAAGTGTGGACCTGTCTCCAACTGAAGTTCTTCTGGGAGTCAGAGCTACTTCAAGGGACAATTGATGAGAGGAATGTGTTCCCATCGCCTTATGTTTTGTTAGCCAGGGGTTTGTGAAAGACTTGTGACTAAACGGAAGAAGCTCAGAGGATTGACACCCTTAGGACATTCCAAGATCTGTTTATTCTTCAACAATGTGGTATTGAGAAAAGTCAGCTTTACTGTAACAAAGGATCATCCCTGTGACATTATTTGGAAGTCATCATTGGAGTTCTTGTCATGTCTAATTGGCTTGTAACATATCAAATGTGAAATGTTCAGTCTCTGACCACTGTTGTTGAAAAGAAGTTAAATAGTCATTGTCCTAGCTGCATTAGATTGGAGTGTTCACTGCTAGTAACTTTTGTTATTGCATTTGGATTCTTCAGTCTTCACAGGAGGCTAAGACAGGCTGGTAAGAATGATTTTTTTTTTATCACATTCTGCACTGTTCATCAGTTAAGTTATAGATTTAGCTGAAATTCATACTGCACATGCATGTTCCCAATCCAGTTACAGTAGCAAATAAACTAAGGAAGCAGACTGTTTCAAAGCAATGGTAGCCCTATTCAAAAACAATTGAAAACAGCTAGTTGTAGATAGACAGTGTATCTATCATCACTTTATCTCTCAGTTGCTATGGGCACTATAACTGGTCAATTTCACCCTTTGGCTCGCCAAATCAAAAAGTTTGTTTAAATTGAAAATTTCTCCCTCTATTTGAACCCAAAGATAAAATAAATACCTCACACTAACCAAATTTGAGGTCCATTCTAGAAGTTACAAAACCTTGTTTTCTCTGCTTGGATTTTTGGCCTTATTACATATGTGCAGGCCATAACCTCCAGTATGAACCTCAAACTTGGTTAGTAAGGGGTATTTATTTCAGAAGTTGTAATGTTGAAATGTAAACTGTGCAGCCCTGACTAGGAAGGACACCAACTGCAAGTATGTTGAGAAATCTGGATGGTGGGTCATTAGTTATGAGTTTGCTTATCAAGCTTGTTTGTGGTGTGTTTGTTCTCAAGTTCTAGAACCGACAGCTGACAATCTACAAGTTTACAGCTGGTTAACCAAACAACAACATGAACTCTAAAGTTGCTTAAGCTGTCACTGTATTCAGCCAGCTGCTTTTGAATTTTTTTTCTTTAACAATAAATAAAGATGATATGTCCAACTGCATTTTTCTTACTTTCTAGAAGCAAGTGACCTTCAGTGATGACCTCACAAGGGGATGACTGTTATTTCTATTACTACTCAACATGTGCAAAGGTTTGTAGAATCAGTGAACAAAAAGTAATTTTAGTCTTACACCCTCCTGTCCTTGATAATGCTTGTGCTTTGATTTTTAATGCCCTGGATTAAATGCAGCATTTTCAAGAATGAAAGGGAGGGCAATGGTAAAGTTCTGGAGTTATGTGAATTGTAAAGCAGACAAATGCTGAATTCATGGTGAATGTGCATGTAGGTACATGTACCTTGGCTAGTTTTCAGGTATGCAACTCAGATAACCATGAAAGGATTTGATACCTTTGCAGGCAGGAAGCAAATCAATCGGCTATTGATGCAAGTAGGTGATGAGTTGAACTCAGGGCTGCATATGTAGAGGCAATTTCAGCCAGCCTCACTTACTCCAGGGATGGATAACAATATCCACTAAAAAGATCTCTAATTAAAATATTTTGGGGTTAAGCACCATGAAACACCAACTTCTCTTAAGTGCTTTAATAGAGTATGATATCTTTCTAGGGAGAGGAATGTCCTTTCCGACATCAACCAGCAGCACTAGGATGTGAAGTAATTTGTGAAGAATGGGAAAAAAATGGAAGATGTTTGAGACCAGTTTGTCGTTTCAGGCATATGTTGATTGAGGTACACATGGGATACTATTGCAAGAATTTTTTGTTATTTGAACTTTTACATATACATGAAATTTGATTTATTTACATGAAGTGAGTAGCAGTTTGTTATTTGTGACAGCTTACTGATGCCACTACAGCTATTTATAAAATAATTCAAATAATATGCACGCTCTGATTGGCCATAAAACCATTTTACATGAGCGTATGTAAACATGGTTTTTGTTCCTCTTTCATTAGTTATTTTATAAAAGAAATGTAAAATGGTTTCCGTGTTTACATAGCCTGATGTAAACACTTGGGAGGTTGGGAGAACACGAGTAAGCTGGAAACCACTCCACTTCGCGTCGTGGTTTCTTATGCTTATCTCGTGTTCTCCCAACCCCCCGTGTGTTTACATCAGGCTATGTAAACATGGAAACCATTTTACATTTCTTCAGTGTAAATCTGTACTATACTTAGTGGTGCAATACTTCTTGTTTTGTGTTTGTTTTGTAGTGAAACCTCTATTAAGTGGACACCCTTGCGACCTTCCTAAATGTCCACTTAATAGAGGTTTGTGAAAATTGCACAATAATTGCTAAAGATTAACATTCAACAGTTACTTTGTACTGTAATAAAGTTCCATGTTGCTAACAAAGCTATCCAGGTTTCAAGTTCATTACCTTTCATTACCAACGTTAATTTTGGATAATAATACAGAAACATAAAAGCAAAGCAGCAAAAATAATATGCATGGTACATTGACTCTGTGTATGTAAAAATTATGTACAGTAGTCCAGTGTCCACTTAATAGAGGTTTTTAACAATAGAAATTAGCCAAAAGCAATTTATTTTAATGTCTGTTGAACTGGGGTTTGTTATAAAGGGAATATAGGATGTTAATTTCAGGAGCTGGCTTAGTGTCTGCTTATAAGAGGGTGTCCACTTAATTGGGGGTCAGCCTAATGGAGTTTTCACTGTATTAAGCTGGATAGCAATGTGGTAGGAGGAATAAATTAGTGTTAAGTAAGACTAAATTTTGTGAAGGCAAGTAGTATTCAGTGTTTTACCTGTTGAATTTTCAAGAATTCCAAGCAATTTTAAACAGTAATAAGAGGTACTACAGGCGGTAAATGTTACCGGTTACTGCATGAAAAGGAGAACACTGAGTATTTATCTTTAAGTATCAAATTTAACAACTTACTGCTTCAGTTTGGCATCATTTTTGTGGCCCTTTAAAAACTTCTCAACTCCTAACAGTTACCATTTTGTTGTGAAATGGCCTCCTTCACCTATTTTGCCATTATCAAGTAAGTTTCTTTCCATCAACAGGAGCGCAGGTCTCGCACTCAATGTTACTGGGAGTCGCAACCAAGTGGTTGCTTGAAGCCATTCTGTCCATTTCTTCACACCAAGCCAAGACCCAATGAGCAGTCAAACACAAGCACTTCAGTTCCTACTATTTCAACGCCTGCTCAACCCCTCCCAGTTCCACCTACACCTGCACCTCCTTCCTCAGCTGGTCCACAAAATGTCAGGTCAATTCCCACCATATCAAGTACTCCAAGACCGAGACAACCTCTACACCAAAATGTTTCCATAGGAAGACAACCGGTGACACCCATCTCATACCCAACAGCACCCAACAGGCTTGTAGTGGCGCCACAACCCCCTCAGATGATAAGGACACCTCAGTATACCGGACCTCCACGCCTAGCAGGGATAGTTCAGCCTGTTCCTGTGGACAGAGGGTTTCCACCTGTACTTCCACATGTTCCAGTGCGATTTGGGAGAGGTGAAGACTTTTTTTATAGACGTTTTGTGATACAAGGAGGTTTATCCTCAGAGAAAACTTTCTAACCTTAACATTTTTGAGAGATATGTTCAGCAAGAGTTGCCAATAACACCAAGCTCAAAATTTCCCATGTTCCTTAATCTATTGATGCATAATGCTTTTGAAATTGCTAATCCTAGCAGTAGGCATGTTGTTTGTTTTGAATAAGTATACAGCTCATGGAAGAGCCTCCACTGAAAAATCCCAACATGGAGCATTTGAATCCTTGTAGAAGGTGTGTCAACTCCATACTCAGGAGAATTTGGAGAACTGAGATGTTTCTTTTTCCTGTGCTCATGTGTAATTTCTTTTCTCAGGCATGCCAGCTCCACAGAGATATCCTCATCTTGTGAACATGTACATGGGAAGACCAGAAGGTATGAAAAATCTGCTTTAAAAGTTGTTTCTCTTTTCAATGATTCTTTGAAAAAAAAAAAAACCAGAATATCTAGTCAATTTATTATATTGTTAGTCATTGGAGACACCCTTCAGCTTCATGGTGAGGGTGACTATGGTTTAATAATTTTAATCAGTTTTTGTGATTTTGGGGGTTTTTAGGCCTTGTTTCCATTTGTTGTTGATGATAGTGCTAAATTGTTAAGGATTTCTCAGCTATGCTGAATGCCTCTTTACATCTGTGTGAGCACAAAGCCTAAATTCAATCAATGTTCCCCTTTTTAGAAAAAGAAGCCAAGGTTGTGCTTATGCAAATATTCTCTTTACTGTTCCCCATACATTCCCTAAGTTGCTGACAAGGAGAATTTGTGAAACAATCGACAGCTTCTTTTGCTGCTGATAATTTTTTTTTATTCTCATGACCTTACTTCATAATTCAGGGGAGACATTTTAAGGAGAAATTAGATGCTAGTCACTCTTAGATGTTAAAGGGATAAAGGCGTTTGTGGTTGATATTTTTTAAGTGACATATTTCTTTAAATTTTTCTTTCAGGCTCAGCAACATCATTCTTGCCGAAAGGGGGTTTTCAAGAGGATAGATATGACCGTCAAGGTATTATGTCAGTGTTTTACATCTAGTAACTTGAATGAAATTGTTATGAGCTATTATTAGATGTTGGAAATGGCTTTAGAGCTTTAAAAAAGTCAGCATTCATAGTGAAAGTGTTGTAGGCTAAAGGTAAACAAACAGTGGAAGCCACCTTGAAAAAATAGCTTCGAAGAAAACTAGCAGCTGTATGTTAACTCTTTAACTCCCAAGATCTTCTTAGTAATTCTCCTTACTGTCTGCCATACAAATCTTATGATATAAGTTTGAAGAATTTGGTAGTAGATCAACTGATAATCCCCTCACTGATATTTTTCTTTATTCTTGTGATTTGTCTGTAATATTGTTTTGGTATTGTAAGGAGAAATTCTCTCTTGGTCACTTAAGGGATTTAAAGGGTAAAGGAACCTTAGGCTTTATAATGTACTCAGACATTTAGGTGAAGGTTATGAAGAGTACATTTAAATCAAAGAATTGGAAAGTAAGACTTGTGTGTGTCTTTAGATTCAGACTCCTACTCCAGTAGTGGAAGTGATGATGAAAGGAGAAAATCCCACCAGACATCCCGCCGGAAAGTACGTAACAGTTCACAAAGAGAAGTGTTCTCCAGTGACAGGCGAGATACGCGCAATAACCGGAAACCAGGTCATGAGAGTAAGTTAAAAAAAAATGTATGAAACATTTTGCCCTCCTCACAGAGGTCAGAGGCCAAGTGTGGTCATAGGTTAGGTAGACCTGTTTCATGACAAAGCAGCATTTAAGCGCGCTTTTTATGAGCACTATATATTTGTCATTGTTATTTTCTCCTCTCTGTTCAGGCTTACTGGCAAAGCCTCGTAGAAAGACAGGATTGTAATACGTTTGCTTATTCTCTATGATTGGTTAAAAATTGCATGCCATCCTCTCTGCCAATCAGAAGAAAAGCCATTTACCAGTTGCGTTTTAGTCCCTGTCAGTGTCCTACTCTTGACAGGGTATTTTAGCATTATCAACTGAGTTGATAACGTAAATTGGCCATTGTAAAGAGTTTCAAAGCTGACGTTTCGAGTGTTGGCCCTTCGTCAGAGCAAACGATGAGGGGCAAACGTTCAAAGCGTCAGCTTTGAAACTCTTTACAGTGGCCAATTTCCATTAACAACTCAGTTGATAATGCTAAATTATCTTGTTATACTCCCACACCGATGCAGCACCACTGTTTCTATAGAAACTTACCCCCTTTATTCATTTCTCCTACTCTTGAGTTCGTTTACGTTATCCACTTTGAGTTCTTTACGCTTATTTGCCCTTACTAACTTTGCGCCTTGGTTTTGAATGCATGTTGTGATTGGTTTGATCTAGGCTTTCAAACAGTTTATCAATGAGTGCTTTGATAGTCGTTAATGCTTTTTTTTTTCTTGTATAGGGTACAGGACTGGAGATCGCAGAAGAACAGATGGATCAAAAGACAAAAATAAAGATTCTACAGGTATTAACCCTTTGCACCCTTATATCAGTATGCATATTCTCCGTACCGTTTTCTCAACATTGCCTGGGATGCTGACAAGGAGAATTTGTTTGAATCAAAAGCTTCATTAGGTGGTGATCACTTCCTTATTCTCTTGACCTTGATGTTTGATTCTGGAATGATATCGTAAAGAGAAATTAGATGCTGGTCACTCTTAGGGTTTAAAGGGTTAACCCTTTCACTCCCAAGATCTAATTAGTAATTCTCCTTACTATCTGCCATACAATTCTTATGATGTTAGTTTAGAGAATTTGGTATTGGATCAACTAATAATCCCATGATTGATATTCTTCTCTATTCTCATCACCTGCCTGCTTGATATTGTATTGATATTGTAAGGAGAAATTCTGTTTTGGTCACTTCTGGGAGTTAAAGGGTGAAGAATGTCATGAGGCTCTCTCATATAAGTCCTTCTAACATTTGTAAAACGCTTACCCGTAATTTTTAAAACGCTCTATTTTTTTATAGTGGTGAAATAGTATCATGTAGTAGTATTGAACATAAACAAAGGAGCTAAATTTTAATGAATGTATTAAACCAAATAAAACTTCATCTACAAAAATAATATTCAGTGCTGTACATGTAATATTTGTTGTGTTGTTACCTCTTTGTTTTCATATATTTATGTATTGCAGGGCGTGAAATTGCGCCTAATACAGGCGCCAATGCGACTAAATTTTTCACTTTGGCGACCAAATCCTGAAAGTTAGTCGCCAAATTGGCGACTACAACGTTTCATCATAACCTTGAGATATAGTGAATTAAATAAATTTGCAAAGATAAATCCGCGGCAAACTTCCTCGTTTAGTTTGTTTCCAAAACGTAGCACATGTATCTCGATCGATAACTAGACGCCATCTTGGATTTAGATGAGCCTGAACGTTGTATATCATACACCCTAGTGTCCACTTTGTAGCACGTCAAAGATCTTTTCCCTAACTTTATTTTGGAGGGTCTATCTAGAACGCTGACAGCGTAAAGAAAGATTTTGTTTGTCGTTGAAAATGGCGACCAACTTTTTTTGAATTGGCTACCACTTTGAAGAATTCAGGAGCCAAGTGGCTATCAGAAAAAAAAGTTAATTTCACGCCCTGTATTGTTGAATTTTGTGTGTGCAGATGCGGAACGGGAGAGGTCCAGGGACAGGAGGAGACCATCACGAAGATCTGATAAAGAATCGGAGGAAAAGGAGAGAAAGGAAAGTATAGAAAGACAAAAGAGAAAGAAGAGCCCATCGCAGGATGAAAAAAATGAAGAAAAAGAAGAGAAGGAGGACATGGCAAAGGATGAGAACAGTCCAGGCATCAAGGTAAAAACCTTGGAGGAGATACTTCGCGAGAAAGCACTAAAGAAACTTGAAGAGAGAAGAGCACAGGCAAAAAGTGAAGAGCAAAAAGAAGCTGAAGATGGTAAAGAAGATGAAGAAAGTATGGGCAAAGGTGAAGGTGCCAACAACGAAGAAGAAGAAGAGTGTGCTGTTATAGAGTCTGAAAGCAATACTAAACATTTATTAGATGAGAAGGATTATAACAGTGTAGAATCGTCATCTGAGAAACCTTCTGTTGCGAGAAAGGTATCTTTAAATGACAGAAAGAGATCCCCTGTCAAAAAACTTATCGGTTTGAAAAATAATTCTATCAACAGCAAAAGAAGTAGTAATGCAGATTCATCCTCTGAAGAGGTAACTCTGACCAAAAGAGTTTCTGCAAATTCTGAAGAGAACGAAAATGTGAACGAGAAAGTAACCACAAATGAACCTCCATCGCCCTTTCAACAAGTGAGAGTGAAATCGTTTGAGGAAATAATGCAAGAAAAACGGAAAAGGAAAGCTGAACAAGAAGGCCCTGGAGATTCTGTGCAAGATTTGAGTGGAGAATCGAGCGGACAGGTAAACAGCAGCACTGCAACTGCAACGTCGATTCCACCCAAGAGATTAAAAAGATTGGTTCGGAAATCTTCTGACGATAGCGACAAAGATACTAAGGTTGTGTCATCGTCTGCTGCAGAGACTGATAGCAAAGTCGAAATTAGGAAGAAAAGAACAGTGTATGTCATGGACAAGCCAAGTTCAAGTAAAGACAGCAAAGAAAATGGTATGATTTGAGTAATATACGGGACACTATGGGACAAAGCTAATCAGATTTAAGGGTTATGTACCACGTGGTACAAATAGGCTAATTACGAGGCCGGATTTGCCCCAGAGATGATTGGTCTGTTTGTACCACGTGGGACATAACTTTAAATCTGACTAGCCATGTCCCACAATACCCACGTACAAGACTGTTTTGGATTATTTGAACTTTGAGACAAAACATGAGTGAGGAATATTTCATGAAAATGCTTATATACTCTAACTTTAGACCATAAAAGCTAGGTTATAGAGTCGTTACAACTTGCAAGTCAACCACAAGTCGCTTCAAAATAAGGCACCAAAATGTTTCTCTAGTCGCCATAGTGAGCGAAACGGCCGCGGCTTGGAGCACTGACATATTTGAAAGTGTTACCAAAAATCAAGTTAGAGTATGTAATAAAATGTTGATGTAAAGTTTTGTGAGGCAAAATATTATAACATATGTTAGTTCTCCGTTCTTTTTCCTTTTACAGATGTTACATCCACTGCATCTAATGGAGAGAATAAGCCACAGAAGGCTAGTGTGAAAAAGGTAACCTTCTTTGCTCGACAGCCCTGAATCGACGACCAGGGTTTTAGAAAGTTTAGCAAGTTCACGGGTTGTGTTGTTGATCTCAGTTGTAAAGTTTTGCGAGAGTATGAAAATTGCTACCCAGTCACGGGGGTAAACTGGATGAGTCAAATAGCTCTACAATTGTTCACACATGGGTGGTAAGTTTGGGCACTAAAAAGAACAACAAAAAAGTAAACTCAAAAGTAACACTTAGAAAATTAAAGGCTTCAGCCAACGGGACACAAGGTAACCTGCGAGCAGGCTCCGCTTGAGCAACGCGAGCCGGCGAGAGTTTTGCTCCTTACCAGACTCCCGGCAAACCTCTCCCCGATTCGCCTCAAATCTTCCCGTGCGCGCAACAAAGCGCGTACTGCAGCACTACTGAATAATCAGAGCCTGTTCGCAGGCTTGGAATAAGGAAAATTCGTAGCAGTGAACTCAGTTATATCACGTCTCTGTTCACTTGTTAAAAGGGTTGATCTAAATTTTTTAGGACAAGTGTAGAATAAATAGTTACTCGGCAATTTCTCAACAGCCTGCAGTGGCCGAACGTCTTGGACAACAGAAGGTCAGAGTGAAAAGCCTTGATGAAATAATGGCTGAGAAAAGGCAGCGTGCATCTCAGGAAAGTGTTGAAGCTCCAAAGGACAAAGAAGTCGCGAAAGAAGAAGAGAGAGGACTAAAGAACTCTCCGCAGAGGAACCAACAGAGGAAGCCTTTAAACAGAGTTTCAGGTGAGCTAAGAAAAAAAATTGCAGATGTTTTTAGGATTGCATGTGAGGTCAGGCACTTACTTGTGGTCAGAGACTGTTTGATGGTTCATTCTATTAAACGTACTTTTTCTTACAACGTGGATTTATCTCTGAAATAGCTTAACACCAGTAAAGTGTGAAACGAAACTTGCCAAAATATAGCGTGTTGTGCACATATGTAATTAATTTTGATGGGTTACTTACGAGAAAGCAAAACCGTGACCAAATTTCAATTTGAATTTCAGTTCCTGTCATAAAACCAAGAAGAATCAAGGTCTGGGCTCAGGGAACGAGTAAACTTAAACCCACAGAAGGTGAGTTGCCTTTTCATTTTATAAATCACAGCCGTAGATAATTGTTCCTTCAAATGAATTTGGTTTGTGAAGTTTTTGCTCTTTACGACTGAAGTGTTATTTAACAACCTCAAACTCAGTATGCATATTCTCCATACTGTTCTCTATACATTTCCTGATGTGCTGGCGAGGAGAATTTGTCTGACAATCAAGAGGTTCTTCAGTTGATTATCATTTCCTTTATTCTCATGACCTCGATGTTTGATATTGAAAGGAGAAATTACATGTTGGTCACCCTCAGGGATTAAAGGGTTAATGTTGTACTTTAAGGAAGTTGTCTTTGGAAAAAAAGTATAGAAATGTACGGCTGACATGATCAAAACGTAAATTTGAATAAAGAAAAGATTAGTTATAAGAGTAATTTCAGATCGTGTGTCGAAAGTAATTAGCGATTGATTTGATTTTTCTTTGCATCGCCATGTGATTGGGTGATTGGTTAAAAAAGCTGACGCCACTTTATCAACCAATCAGGTTCAAAACTAAAACCGATCGCTACTTGGTCATTCGGGTTTTCCCGCGCTTTTAATTTAAGTTCCCATTGGCTCCTTGTGGTATTTCCTTTGTTTTTATTGGTTAGTGTGATTAGAGTAGTTTTCTTGTTTTGTTTTATGACACCCAATCGAAAGACGCTCCAAACTGCTTGTACTTACTGTGATTAATCAAACATGCCAACTGTTTATTTTATTCTATGTAGATTCTGTCAGCAGCAGTACAGTTGATGAAACCCAGAAAGATCACGAATCACGGGAAAAAGCTCTACAAAGTGACATGGAATCATCAAAGCTACCTGCATTTCAGTCGGAGCCTGCCTTAGCTGAATCACAGCTAAGACCAGCGGATGCATCAGTGGAGGATGAAACACCTGCTCCTGATCAGAGAATTCCTAATAAAGAAAATTGCGCCAAAACTACTGCTTCTGATGGGGAAGCGGGTACTGCACCTAACGAATTCGGTCATTGTACAATCACGGTAGAAGCGGATGAATCTGGTCCAAAGACAACCAAAATAGCTCCGGTAATTCTGGTGTTAACGCTCAATTCGTTGTTCCCTTCTCTAGCTAGACACCTTGACAACCCTTCGACTTCCACAAGCGACAGATTTTATTCTTACAATATCGAGCAAACAAGTATGAGAATAAAGAAAAATATGAATTCTGGGTTTAATAGTCGATCCAATACCAAATTCTCAGAACTAACTTCACAAGAATTCTATGGCAGACTGTAAGGAGTGAAAGGTTTACCTTAAGTTTTGGTTTGACGCTTAAATGAAGCTAATTATTAGCACTTACGTTTTTTCAGGAACCCGAAGAGGCACATGACAGTCCAGAGAAACCTCAACATTCACCCCCAGGTAAAGAGCTTCATGCAGTAGTTACCAGTACGTGTTTTGGTCCCTTTTAAGAAAATTAATGAGACGTTTCAGGGCTATGGACAGTTTTTATGTGGATTTGATCTCGATAACGTTTTTGGTTCCGTTTTTCCCTTTGTCCATGTTACATTTCTCTTAACAGGGCTATAAATAAGTTTTCCATAAGTAGCTGTCGGTGGTTTAATAGGTGGCTGTGCCCGGAAAAGGAGCTTTAAGGCAAAACCGAACACCAGAGCCTGCTCGCAGGTTCAACAGACGGCGGTGAGAGGCCTTATAAGCAGCAGTAGACCGCTGACAAAACGGCTTTTATAGAAAACCCTGCCTCTGTCATAGATTACCTTACCAAATACGAAAGACAACACACTCGTTGAGTCAACTCCGTTTGACCTTCTTGCGCTTTGCGTATTACTTATGTGAAAGATGGTTCATCTCTTCTTCAGAACAACATGATATGGAAGATACAGAGTCATCCTTGGAATACCAGCCGGGTGAACTAAAGGCTTCAAAGGAACCGCCATCTCTTGAGGAGATAAAGCGGGCAATGTAAGCGAATTTAATATGTTTGTACCCCTTATGATGTTGTCAATTTGTTGATGTACATCGAACATTTTAAGTCTCACGAGGTAAATACTATTACCATTTCTGCGAGTGGTTCTTTTGGAATGCAGCCCTTGAGGGGTCGGGGAACGTGGTAGCTTAACCCTCTACGCCCCAGCATCAGTATGTATATTCTCCATACTGTCCTCTAGATAGTTTCTAAGGGGCTGACAAGGAGAATTTGTGTAACAATCAAAAGCTTCGTGCTGATGTTGGTGTGTAAGGGGGTTAAACCACTGTGTTTTCCTGAACCTCTGATCTAGCACGCCTCAGCTACCTTAGTCCCTGAAACTATTATCTTCATTCCTAATTGTTGCGCTTTCTCTTCTTCAGAGCAAACGAAATGGCCAAGGACGACTTTTTCGACGAGTTCGGCGCGGATGTCGATTTCGGAGAACACGATGATGCGGCGGGGGATAGCCTTGAGTTGAACGAAGACGACTTACTTATGGAACTGGATGAAATGATAAATCAGTAGACCTAAAGAATCCATTTTAAGGAAGCTAAAACACGATAAGAATTACGGAGAAATGGGGCACAGGACTGGAAAAAAGAGCGAGTCTGTTTGGAATCTCGAACAGTAACGATGAGTTACCGGCACGTGTGAAAATGAATCGTGGAGCAAATGAATGCAATGGAAAAGTTATAAAATAGAAAAGCAATTGAAATGTACGCATAAGCATAAGAGACCTGCAGAGATAGATATAAGAGATTTTCATGAAGACAGCTGCCATGCTTCGTATTGAACTATCACATTCAAAATGCAGCATTTTCCAGTTCTCCACATACGCTCATCAAAAGTCAAGTTTCTTCGAGCAGATCCCAATGGTGGTTGTTTCAAGGACGGTTTTTTATTGAGAAAATGTCAGCAGAGAGCCACAACTAACTGAGCAGCTCTACAGTATTTTCTCCCACCTCTAGAAAGAGGATCTTTCGCATTCTCTGGCCTGCTCCAGAATTATGCCAAAAACTTTCCGAGTTATTTCAAAGGCCTCCTAAATACAACGGAGTTTGGTGGAAAAAGATGAGTTTGGTTGATACAAGAAAAAGCTGGCTTACAAGCACTGCGAAGATTAAAGCGTACCATAAATTCATTTTCGACGTGCGGCTCTGATAATGCAGACCCGTTGTCCTCTTTTACATCTTTTGCTACACTACGTACACTCGGTTAATAAACAGGTCAGTGTTTACATCTCGCCCTCTGCCTCATCCTGACTGAATGTTCTTGTTAACTTCTATTTGATGGCAGATACTGTCTTGCACCGATTGAAAACTTAAGTTAGTATCTTGTGTCTATAGCGGAGGATAGCAGTGAGTGGCCTTCAACTCAGACGGACTTTGTTAATAAGGATCAATCCAATTTCCAACAGCACTTTGTCAGAATCTTTGGCATTCTTAACAGTAGTCCATCCACTTCTCAACAAATGTAGTACGTTACTTTTGACACGATTGTTTAGCAGGAAATTTCCATCAAGATTTGCATTTAAAATTGCCGTTGCATAGTAATTGCAAGTGTCATACCACATTGAGACTGGTATCTAAAACTGTGTTAAGAAAAGAAGACCTTGCGGAAGGAATATTACTTGGAAAGTCTCTGACAGTCCGGCGATCAGAACGTTGTCTGTACACTCATCAAATGGATGGCTTTCTGTCTCAAAAGCCGAGTCCGTTTTGGTATTCAATGCTTGGCTCGCGTCGATTGTGTCCGCTAGTTACATTCTCAGATGTTAGTCTGGCCCGAATGTGACGTAAATTTACACCACCTTTGACTATTCCCATTGTACCATGGGACTTCATCTTTCTACCACCAATCAGCGCCGTCAGCGGGATCAACGCTTTTTAAGGGAAGACATATGCGACTGTTAAATACGATAGTTGTGATGAAAAATTATAGCTTTTAATGTGAAAGGATTGAGAGAAATCCCGGCTAGTTGTCACCAGTGCGAACATCATACGAACAAGGGTACAGGTCCAAGTCTGAAATGTTATAATCGTGTGTCAACATTTTCATTTTGGAAGCCTGGCCAAAGTGGACATTTTACTAATGAGAATATCGTCTTCGTGGTTATGCGCAGTTATGGTTTAAAGACAGTTCTCTGAAACCTTAACTGTTAACATTTCAGCGAGAGAGACATTTGAATTCTCTAAACAAAACGGAGCTTTTGATATGGCCTCATGATCATGGTTTTTCCTTGAAGACTGTAGGCGGACTTATCACATTTGTCGCAGGTTCTTGTAGTTAGATAATTTAAATGCTGCAAAATTGAAATCCAGCTGGAAAGTTGTTTGTTGCGCTAACGCAGTAGATTGTCACGCGCAAAGAGTAAGCAAGAAAAAGTTAAATTTCTTAAACTGGCTTAATGAGTCTGACTAACATAATTAATATGCATATCTTCAATGCGCGTGAAAATCGTTAAAAATTAGTCAAGAGGAAAGGATTGGGTTTTTTTCCCGTAGGAGACTGTATACAGGTCGTTCTCACATTGTGACAAGAGTTTAGATTTTTTAAGTCTGAAACGGAGTCAGTAAGACAAGAGTACGTGTACTTAGTTAAGCATGCAAGACATAGGCGTTGTGCTCTGTAAAGAAAGTTATTGCGTCTAGTCTTCCTGTTTCACCAACACTATATAGCCAAGATACTTTTGTTGTGAAACGGAAGAAGGAAATGACAACCTATTTGGGAGGTTTTGTAAAAGCTATGGGTATTGCATCTGTTTATCACAATTTTGCTCACACTCGACTTTTCACTAAAGGACTTTGGAAGTAGTGATCGCGTTACGTTTTTCTTTTTTTGATTGGGTGGATGACTGTTTGCCTACGTAACTCACTTTTTCATGAATCACTGGTTTGCTTGTCAAATGCAATAAAACTAGAAACCTTGGAACATGTCTGTGTTTTTTTAGAGTTACTATTCAATGTAACACTACAGTAAACTCGTGTACATACCGTGCAGAATGTTATTAGAATATATAGAAATTTTTCTCAAAGCCAATGATCCTGTGATTCCAGGAAACGGAACTGAAACATAATCCCCACGAAAGTCTTTAATAAGATGCGTGCTCTCCCCAGACTCCTAAAGCCGTGCAACGTCACGTGATTTGCGTATCGAATCCCGACATTAAAACCACGTAACTGCTTCAAACTACGCGAGTTCCCGATATTCCTGCGTAAGGGTTTGGACATCAGGGCCCACATGGTTTATCACCGAGCACTTTCCTTCCTATGCTTTGCGTATCCGCGGGTGAAAAAATTAGACATTGAAATCGGCAAAGAAAGAGAGGTCCTACGGGGAACTCTATCAGATCAGAGATCATGTGGATAACGGGTGATAGTAGGGTGGAACCTCGCCTTACAGCCACCTCAGTAGTACAATCACCTCGTTAATACAGCCCCCTTTTATCGGTGCGGCAATATACCCAGAAAATTTATTTTTAAAAACCGTGGCTAATACGGTCACCTGTTTACACGGCGAACGGCCATATTTTAAAATCCCAAAAAGAGGATACCTTAATGATTTCACTTCGTTAAAATGGCCACTCAAATTAGTTTTCTGTTCATGAAGTCGTAGCGGGAAACACCTAAAAGAAAACATCCCACGCTGTATACAGTAGGGCTGTTCATAAACATTTTTTCACTTCCTTTGAAAAATATTTGAAGGATAATAAACACAATAGCCTCTACTTTACGCGAAAATATGCTTGTATATTTTTCCTCAGACATGATCTGTTTCTCGAAACTGTACGCATCTTGGAACAGATAAGGGCTGCGGACAAATATCCGTGCATATTTTCGCGCCAAATAGAGGCAATTTTTTACATATTTTAACGATACGTGACATTCACTACAATCAGTTTGAAAGATAAGAGAATTAACGTGATAATCTCCTAATGGTCATGGGGATTATACAGGTCAGTTCTTTGGACAAAAAGGTCAAATGAAAGCTCACAAATCAACAGAAATTAAAAGTTAAGAGTATCAAAATAGGAAATTTTGTCCAAGAATTCTTGTCTCAAGACAAGTTTATAATTTGTTCTTTATTTGCTTACCGCACAAACCTGATGCATACTCATATTGTGCTCTAATAATTACAGTTTTATTAATCTCTTACACCCTTGAATTAGTTTTCATATTCTCTACACTGTTCTCTTCACATTTTCCACAGAACTGATCAGGAGAATTTTTTTAACAATCAAGGTCTTCTTCAATCAGCAGAAGATCATTTCCTTTTTAGTGATATTGTAAGGAGAAATGATCTGCCAGTCGCCCTCAAGGGTTCAAGTGTTAAACTTAATTGTCACCATGACAAAAGGTGAATTTATCATTTTTTTTCATTTCAAGTGTTAAGCTCATACAATAGTAAAATATGCACCACAATGACTCACACTGGAAAATATAACCATTTTTCTTTTGTGGTCATCAGAAAAGTACCCACAAAGTCAGGTGGATTGTTAGATAAAGAATTGGTCAGTGATATGCTCAAATGACAAATATATCATTTTTTTTTAGTAAACTCAAAACCAGAACTTCCCAAAAGTTTGGTAAAGACTGTAAAATCAAATTTTGGCAAGGGGAGGGGACATATTAAATCCACATATTACAGCAAATTGTTGGAAATGAGAAGATTATCAAATCACAAGCTAGCAGGATTGAAACTTAACTCCAAGCAAACCAGAGCAGTTTGTTGGTTAGTGTTATGCATTTGAAGAGAGTGGTACACTTTTCTCCCCCCATACTGCTGGTGACACACCCTAGAGTATCACACCTTACTCCTGTTTAAGATCTGCCATCTCTGGCAAATTCTGCTATCCTACTTTCCTTATCATGTCAGTGTATTTAAAAGGGAAAATACATATCAGAGGTGTAACCCAGTTTTTCTAAGTTAGGGATACAAGCGAAGTTGATCATAGGAGGAGGTCCACACATCAGTATCTGAGTGTCTGGTCCAGGTGGAGGCATGTGTTCCTTGAGCATTGCGTCATTGATGAATCCAGAACTGTATGGCCATCCTTTAAATTGAACATCAATAAAGGAATATTTTAGTGCATTCCTTCACTGGAGTTTCAAATATCAGATGTGCAAATATACATATATCCAATGGAACTTTCATTAAAAAGCTCAGACAATTTGATCAATACCGTCAGGTGGCTTGTCAAGTGTATACCAAAGCTTGAAATTCTCACATTCCTGATCCAGCTCTTCTAACTCGGGTCGTACAAGGATATCTCTTTCAGTCTGAAACCCAAAATAAGGTCATGTTAATAAAAACTTCATGATCACCAACTTTACATGCTTTTGATTGTTAAACAAATTCTTTTTGTTTGTACCAAAAGAAATCAGTGGAGAACAGTGTGAAGAATATCCATGACAGTGTGGAGAATATGCATGATAGTGTTCGGATAGAAAGTGTTAGATAGTTTGCCAAAACCTTTTGGATAATTAGGCCAACAGTGGTCCACAAAAGCAAATTGAAACTTTTATACCTTATCACTGACAAGTGCAGTAATGCAACATTGAAATTCAAGATTGTTGAGAAGTAGCTGCCCCAAACAAAAGTCACATCCACAAGAAAACTAATATGTAAACTATGGTAGCTTGGGTAGGTTAGAAAAGCAAATCGATTACTTAGCTCAACGTGGAAAAGATTTGATGTAACCTGAAAGGAATAAATACTTATATACCCAGACTTAAGAAGGAAGGAGGAAAGTAGACTTGAAGTTCATGGGAGATTAGACCACAAAGATGTCTTGAATACTTTCCTGAGGCAGATGCACATACTTGGTTAGCAAACAGGAGAGTAATGTTGGTTTTATCTTCACTGTCTTTAATCACTGCACTTATGATCTGTAACATGGGAGTTATGCCTACAGTGCAGAACATAAAGAAACTTACAAAATAAACAGAATCACACAACAGAGTACATTTATTTATTACATGAACCCACACAAAACTTATCTTCAAGGAGATCTTGGTAAATGATATGATGATATGATGATATGAAATGATAACCAGCACCAAAAACTAATATATAACTTCACTAAATTCTACAACATTCATTGATCACACAAAGAATTGTGCAACATTGGGTGGGGCATTTGAACACAGTTTTGGCCCAAAGGCAGTGGGAAGGGGGAAATAGAACAAGCCAATCTTTCAAGTCAAGTTTATTTACCTAGAGAACCCATGTTGAATTTAACCCTTTAACTCCCAAAAGTGATTGACATGCAACTTCTCCCAACTATACCAATACATTATCCAGCTAACAGGTGATGAGAATACTCACTCCAGGTAGAAGTTGCTATCTTGATCTAACACCAAGTTCACCTATCTAATTTACAAGGAAAAGTGTAGCAGCTAGAGGGGAGAATTGACAATCAGATTGTAGGAGTCTGAACTAAAACGTCAATCTCACATACCAGTTCCCCCTGCAATCAAACCAACATTCTTAGCTGTTCTAAACTTGGGTTCCTTTGCATTCTCCTTTATAGCAAATTTTCCTGTATTTAAAGGCAAAATTTATAACATCAGTCAGTAACTAAAATGATCCTAAATGTTATCATTTCTTTTCCTCCAGATCCAATTAAGAGGTCAAGGGTAATGTCTTTAATTATCTAGTGAATAGTCACTCACCCAGGGGGTGGGGAATGTGAACCTTATCTGGGTGGGGTGGAACATTTGAACTGGAAATGTAAAGTCTTTCCACTTGTAGTACACATGTTTCAATGGAGGAATTTGGAGGTTGTGGTCACTTTTGTAAGCAAATGCCTTAAAAGGCAATTTTTTGCATCATAGAATAATGCTTACAAGCCAAAAACCCAACAACAGCACCAAAAACCAATATATAACTTCACTAAATTCTACAACATTCATTGATCACACAAAGAATTGTGCAACATTGGGCGGGGCATTTGAACAAAATTTTGGCCCAAAGGCAGTGGGAAGGGGGAAATAGAACAAGGCAATCTTTTAAACGTTCAAAAACCCAGGAGTATGCTGAAGGGGGGGGGAAGGGGGTAACGGGAGGAATGTTGAAACTTCAAATTGATCAATGCATCAAGGGCAACAAAGCAAATCTGAAAACTAAACAACTCACCCCTCCCTACATAAGTTAATTTTCCTGATGGTCCCCTGATGTCAACAGTGTCACCTATCTCTAGGGAATCTAGATACTGTGACATTTTGCCACCATCCGGGTACTTAGGATGAACATTCTTGAAATACACCTTAAACAGAAATGAATTCAAAACAAATGAAAGGCAGATCATTTCTCAGATATACTAAATTTTTTCATGAAATAATTCTTTACACACATTTCGACTACAAAGTCAAGCTTTACAAAAATTGCCATAGTTGCTCTAAAGCTAAACAAACATTGCATATATTTTGAGCCAAAAGTGTCCCCATTTTCAGTTTGATTCAATGCATAAAATATTTAGACCATTCATGTGGTCATCCATTTTCAAAGAGGCATCTTTTGACCTCTTTTTAAACCAATCAACCCTGGTAAAGTTATGTAATTAATCCTAGTGTGCTGTAGCATTAATATTCTATTTTCAATATCTTTCACGCTCTAAAAAGATTAATACCGGTATACTTGAAGATCTGTTATAATTAAAACCAAGAGAAAAACTTAAGACATGCACATATGAAGAGAGTGGAGATCAAAGATCTGAATGGTTCACCTTGATCACCAGCTCAAAATATCCCACTTCATCGTCAGAGGTCACTGGTGTGTATGGCCTGATAACAAGACTTCCATCTATTTTAGCACTGAGATACATGTGATTACCTGAAACACAGAGAGCAGATGAACAACTGTTCCAGAATAAAGAATTAACATTTCATACACTGCAAAAACATGGAATAACAATTTGGTTTGCTACCCTTCAAGTACATACTGTAAAAGCTGAGACAGTGTACAAGTGGAATTTTTAAAAATTAACAAAAAAATCTTACTTGAATAAAAGGCAAAAATTAAACCTACCAACAGGAAGTCCAAGTATGTGTTCAGGAGACTGGAGCTCAAATCGAAACCTTCTTGTATCATGACTAACAATCTGTAATGAACATAGAATTACAAAGTTCAGTTTTTATCCCACTGCTGGTAATGTTTGAGCAACAATTAATGGGATCAGCAGGTTTTTATCAAGTGAAATACTCTGCATATCAAGAGCTCTTCCATACAGCCTTGAAAAAATCATCTTTGAATTTTAGGAAAAGACAGGTAAGGTGCGAATGGGAGGACTGAACAAAGTGTGGTAAAGGGGGAGAGGAGATTGAACAAAGTGTGGTAAAGGGGGAGAGGGGACTGAACAAAGTGTGGTCAAGGGAGAGAGGGGACTGAACAAAGTGTGGTAAAGGGGGAGAGGGGACTGAACAAAGTGTGGTAAAGGGAGAGAGGGGATTGAACAAAGTGTGGTAAAGGGAGAGAGGGGATTGAACAAAGTGTGGTTAAGGGGGAGAGGGGACTGAACAAAGTGTGGTAAAGAGGGAGAGGGGACTGAACAAAGTGTGGTAAAGGGAGAGAGGGGATTGAACAAAGTGTGGTAAAGGGAGAGAGAGGGGACTGAGCAAAGTGTGGTAAAGGGGGGGGGAGGGGGTGAACAAAGTGTGGTAAAGGGGGAGAGGGGACTGAGCAAAGTGTTGTAAAGGGGGAGAGGGGATTGAACAAAGTGTGGTAAAGGGGGAGAGGGGATTGAACAAAGTGTGGTAAAGGGGGAGAGGGGACTGAACAAAATGTGGTAAAGGGGGAGAGGGGACTGAACAAAGTGTGGTAAAGGGGGAGAGGGGATTGAACAAAGTGTTGTAAAGGGGGAGAGGGGATTGAACAAAGTGTGGTAAAGGGGGAGAGGGGATTGAACAAATCTTTCAACTTCATAAACAGAAAATTGCCTGCTTTGCTCGCTGATGCAGGGCAACTATTCCACCTTCCCTTTATTTACTACTGTTGTCTAATAAAAGGTATCCTCCTGATAACTCATAATAAGACATTCCATCAATTGAACATTTCATCAATTGAACATTTCATGATAACATATAGGGAAAGAAAAGAAGTATTCTATACAGAAACCATACTGCCTTCTCTCTCCCATACCCTTTTTACTCAAACTTCAAGGGGCGGGGCCCTTTAACTAAATGATAAAATGGCAGTTTTTTCATACCCTTTCCAACTCATATCAAAGCCTTGTCAGAGAAATCCCTAGCCTGTTGCATATCTTTGGCTGAGAAAAGGTATCCTCTATGTGAAAGGAATTCCAGTGGATCAACAGAGAGCAAACACTACATAGATTGAAATTGAAACCGAAACCATGTAATGGTTCATAACCACATTCATGTATTTTAAACCAAGTAAGTGACAGGCTTCCTCCTGTCTCGGCAGATACCTCTCCCTGACAGAGAATCCCCAGGAAATAATAAAAAAAAGTGAGTTCTGATGCCTCTCTCGGGTAACTTGTACGCACTTACCTTCTTGTCAACGAGTTTAAATGGAATCTTTTTCTGCGGATCTAACGCAACAGGTCTGTTCTTCTTTCCATTTCCTTGCTTTCTAAGAAAGAAAGTTACCACTCCAAACGCCATAGTGACTATGACGACACCAGCAGCGACAAAGACAGGTTTCTGGAAAGCAATAAGACAATATCATAAAGTAGCAACCAAATGCTGGAATGCTCAGGCAGACCTATATGTTAGGTAACTCCAGACAGTTGCAAATCAAATTGACGCCTCAAGGAAAAGGAATACGGCTTGGAAAAGGAAAAAAATACTGAACAAAAAAGCCTATGGATTCCTTATTAGGTAGTGCTTACCATTAATCGATCGTCCATGATTTAAAACTCACGCCGAGCTGATCCAAACCCGCAAAGACAACACTCCCAAGAACTAGCATGTTGTAAGATCCCGTGATCTGTCCCTTGAGTTGTCGAAGAGACTTATGGGTATTTCCTCTTAGGCACGAGAACTGCCGGGAGAGAGACATTTGAAGAGATCTCGATCTAGGAATATATATTTTTTTACTTTCGCACCTCCGACATGGGCGAGCAACTTGTATGGGCCTGCAAGAATGGAGATCTTGATCAAGTGAAAGATATCATGGAGAAACCGGTGAGAAAAACTGAGCAAGTGAACAATAATACTTCGTTGTCTATGCTTGTGGGTGTGATGTCCGATTCCAAATGGTCCCAATTTCTTGCTTTGGCTGGTGTGCAAAACGTCAAAGCTTTCTAGAAAATGCTACGCATTGGAAACAGTATTGATCTGAAAATAAGTATCTTCCGGTGAATCTCACCCTCTACATCTGGGCAATTTGTGAAATTTTTGTAGAAAATTGTAATGTGCAAGGTTTGCTAGGCTTTCGGATTATTGCAGATTATTGCCGTCTTGTTTTGCTTCTCGAATTTCGCAAGGTTTCTTGATCTCTATAGTTACGTATTCGATTCCTTTAAAACACTACAACTGGTTCTAAGGGAACTTGCTACAATTGTAGGGACGTAGTTTCAGTTTTGTATACGTTCTGGAGCTTTTGTTAGAAATTTAGACATCAATCTTGTCTGGATACAGTACCATTAAACATGTATGCAAATGTCTTTTGGTAACGAAACTAACATGTGCATCGCTTGTACTTGAACCACGTAAAGTATTTATTGAAGCAAAGTTATCTTTTATCAGAATGTGCCATTAGTTACAAATATCTTAACACCTTAAGCAATGCGATTCGAAGACAAGGAGTTCAGACTGCTTTCAGAATTTTTTACTTTCAGTATTATTACATTGAAGTTTATTGGTGTATGTAATGTGACTTCAAAGCCACGTCGCATATTGTTTAATTATTTACAATCTTCTATGAGCTGGAGTGTTTTTCAAACATAACTTTCTGAAGGATAGACAAATTGTTTGGATGTGAAGGTAACATTTTTTGTTTATGTTGAGAAATGTCCTAGGTAGAAATTGTACACAAGCTCTGATAAGATAAATGAATACAATACAACAATTTATGAACTACGAACCCTATTTGCATAAACTGTTGTGACTGAAGTTTAATTTTCATAAATAGAAAAATTAAATGATTTGAAAATGAAAATTTTCAAAACAGAAACAAATCTACACAGTTTCCAGATTACAGGGAGTTTGGATAAAATGGCTTTTGTACATAAGCCACAGCCTGAGAGATGAAAAATGTGCATCTAGGTACGTCAGTGGCACTGCTTACAATGGAAATTGCAATTGTTTGGGTGTAAAGGGTTTACTAAGCCTGCATTGTAGTACAAATGAAATAGCTAATGCGAAAGAAGTATCAAAAGTCATGAAAACCCTTGACTATAATTTGCTTTGTACAACTGTGTCAAATTCTCCCAAAACCCATATGTAGAGACAAAGCTTTGAGAACACTAAAATTTCCACATCACTTTCAAGAAACACAGACATTTTTCCTAATATAGACAACTCTCCAATACAGACACATGCTAATGTAATATAGACAGTTTCCTCCATGTCAACTAAATTCTTAGATTTTTTTCTCTAAAAGAAAGCCTCCATATTACTCCCCTTGCTGCTTCACAGTTTGCTCAGGTGCTCCCTAACAAAACCGCCAGCTATGCTTACTAGTTATTACAACCTTGCATGAAAAACTGCCTATTTATTCCACAAAAAATCCGCAAGGATGGTTGAGTAAATTCTTCAGTAGTGTCTATTTTATTATAAAACAGGCATGGGGTTTAAATATTCATAATACCTTTATTTTTAAGGGTTTTGATGTGAATGCAGAAATACTGAATGGAAGAAGTGGGATACATTTTGCTGCAGATTATGGACAAAGTAATGTAATTGAGTATCTTCTTTCGAAAGGAGCAGACATAAATGTGAGTTTTCCTATCAATTTTGTTACTCTCAGTCTTACAAAAGCCTGTTTAAGTAAAGGGTCAGTTCTGAATTTAAAAAATTTACCCTTTACACCCCAACATCCATATGCAAGTTTTCCATACTGTTCTTCTGTATACATTTTATATGGTGTTTGTAAGGAGAAGTTGTCTAACAATCAAGAGCTTCTTGAGTTTCTGATCATTTCCTTTATTCTCATGAACTTAATGTTTGATTTAGGGGTGATACTGTGGGGAGAAATTAGATGCTTATCACTCTGAGGAGTTAGAGGGTTAAACAGTTGTGAGGTATTGGATATTATCCAATGGCAGTGTATTAAAAAAGCATCTGTTGGTTACTCATCAACTCTGCACTGATCATGTTGTACTCATTTCTTATTCTGTAATATCAATTTTAGTTCCCTTTCAACCTGAGAACCTGCCTTTGTCATAATTCACCCACCCTCTCCACCCATGAGCTGCATTAGGGGAGAAATGGCCTTTATTTTACCTTCCCCTTGATGTAGCTTTGCTTGCTCTGGCAAACAATGAGGATGATTTTGTATGCATTTGTATGATTGCTGTTATTTAGTACTTAGGGTTATGTTGAAGAGTTGGTAGAGTTCAATTTGGGTCTCTTATCATACATTCAAGTGAAAAGATCCTGGATTACTTATCCTGAACAACAGTGTATTTTAGGTAGCTTTTTCCATATGAGTCATATGAACTAATGGTATTACTTATCTATATCAAAGCGTGCAGACAAATATGGAATCACTCCTCTGTTAGCAAGTATATATGAAAGTAACACAGACTGCGTCAAGTTACTACTTGAAAAGGTAAGAGAACTCTGCAAGGGCAAGAGTTTCCTCTTGTAATCAATGCATCCAAAAACCAAGATTGATGAGGGCCATTAATCATATTTACACAACCCACTGACAAAATATTCTAATCAACAATAAAAAGAGGGTTGGCCTCAAAAATTTGTATTTAGAGCAATTTTTAATTAAATATTGAAAGTATTCCAGAATTGCTCTGGCTTTTACTTAACTTCACTTCATGATTGATCCAGAAAACTTGTACCACTCTTTCAACCAATCAGATGATTATTAAACAAAAAGCAATCACACCTTAGTCTGTTCACATTTTCCCATGCATCAAGTAGTTTGCTTGTTTTTGTGGCCACATTTGGATGCAATATCACCTTAGAGTGCTGACAGCATCTCAAGAGATAATCACAAAATTTTCTTTCACCTTGCCCAATATTATGAGCTTCATTACAATTCAATTCTACAGTTATGACTCACTGTGCATTTTTCAATCCAGGGTGCTGATAAGACTTTGAAGGCTCCAGATGGTAGCTCTTATATTGAATGTGCAGAGACAGATGAGATTAAAAGTCTTCTCATGTAGATTGCCAATAAAAAAGGTATGTCTCTCTCCTTTTTTTTTTCCCCCTTTCTAGTGACCTCCAGTTGGCCCCTTAGACTCTGCTTCAAGAGATTTGGTTGCGTGACCCTGGTGGCTCAATGTTCTTTGTTCTTAGGAAAAACATGTCACTAATACAATGCTTCACTCCACCTCAGGAGTAGAAGTACATACTGATGAATTGTTTGGAGAATATGATGAAATGCCAGGAGTAACCCTGCAACCTTGCAGTGCACTAGCATCTCATTCAGTGGTATTTCCTCTCTCTTAGTAACATCTGTTTCTTTTCCTTCTCCAACAGAGGCAATGGCTGCCAGAAGAATCAATAGTAATGATAGTAATTTCTTTCCGTGAAGCTAGAGGAAGAAGCCTACAAGTTTCCATTGGTCATTGATAACAGAATGAAGCATTTTTGTACAAAGATAAAACTAAACATGGACAAAAACCTAGTTAATAGCTTTTAGAATTTGACTTTCAAGTGTTTTATTATTACTGAGTTGTCACAATGAAATTTGTTGGATTGTATTAAAGGCTCTAAGCAATCTGTTTAATTTCTGACCTTGCCTGTTGTGTTGTAATCCAGGTTGTCACTACACAAGTCTAGAGTCACAAATTTGCTGGTCCTCTCTCAAGATCAAATTACTTAAGTAGATATGGGGTATAGATATATTGATGTTCCCTCTCAATGGGGTATGTGTTCCCAATCTCTACCTCCTTGTGCTAGTGCTTGATCTTTGAAATTTACTGTTTCCTTTCGTTTAAAATTTATCACACTGTGGTAATGCTGTCTTGAAGGCCAATAAATACTGCAAGTTTTGATAAGATTGTCTTCCTAATCAAGTTTTTTCAAACATGTTCAAAGGGGTATCTGGAAGTGCCTACAATTAGGCACTGTGCTTTGCAAAACTTCATTATGTTGGTTACATAATTCCTCACAGTGAATCAAAACTCAGACTGAAGTCCAGGGGACTCAGTGTTCAGCGAGCCCACTGGGCCTGAATGGCCAGCAGTTCTGACCAGCCTTGGTTATCGCTGTGTTTGTGTTGTAGAATATCCCAATTGCCAGTTGAAGTGATGTTATGATAACTATTGCCAATCTGATCTCACTGGTTGACCTTTGAAAGGCCACTACACTATTAAAGTGGTCTTGAATTAAATTCAGTTAACTGTTTAAACTGACGACTTAGCAAGTTAGAGGTTCATAATTAGTCAAAAGGTAGCTTCAGGATAAGCGTAATTTTTTTAATACTTTGGCCTTTCCCTGATGAGCTCAAGATGTTGGTCACGCCCAAGTGGAAGAGCGGGAAATATATGTCTTTTCTGTGAGAGTACTGCAGTAAACGACAGCAATAGTAAAGTTTTTGTACCACCATGGAGTGAATGAATTTTTGTCCACAGAGTGAGGCAGACAGTTTCTTGTTTACAAAAGTAAGTTGGACTTGAAACCGGTCAACGGCTCTATGAAGTCCCCCCCCTCCCCAAAACTGAAAGATTGAAAGATCGCCTGCTGTAGTACCTCTGATTGAGCGGCGAGAACTTCTTGTACAAGACAGAAAGTATTGATAAAAAGAAGTTATAACTAAAAAATATATTACATTGATATTCTCTCCTACCCCTTTTTAAAGTGGAATTAAATGCAGGTAAACCCAATAGCGAGATACTGGTACTGACTAAAAGTTCGAATCATTCCAGTGCTTACAATGGTCTTAGTCTCTCCACTTCTCCCATCCCCACCCAGGAGGGGGAAATTAACCCAGGAGGTTACTTTGGGTTGGTAACCTTTTTATCTCACTAGATAACCCGGTCCTTGTTGTTTTTTAAATAAAAAACAACTCGACAAATGAGAAGAGTGTCTGTCTGCCAAAGCAATTGACTGGAGCGATCTGCGTCTTTTTGTATTTGAAATTTGAGATAAATTTTCTTGGCAGGGTAACGGGATTCTGTTCTTGTTTGTTTGTGCATTTGTTTTTCTTTGACAGTAAGTATTTACCTTTACATTTAAGTGGCGATGTCTAACACTGGAAGCCAGATATTTGTCGAAAATTTGCGTTCGTTGACACATTTTGAAATTAAAAGTTATGATAAAGCATAACTCTTAAAAAAAAGGGAAATCGGAATTAAAACCGCCACATCTTCAAAAATTCTATCAGAATGACCAATCTGACATCATTAACTGCATCTCTCTCACGCCCATGTGATATGCGTTTTTTAATGAAGACCCACCAGGTAAAATATTTCAAAAACATTGTACCTTTTTAGGCCTGTCTGACTGATCTCTGTTATGTTTTGAACATGATCTCAAGCGAGTATCATAGCCTTTCAAGGAAACGTTGCCAACTGCAACCAGTCATGACGTCACAAAAGAAACACTTCGAAAACGACGCGAGATAAGCCACCTGGGACCCATTGTGACTGTTGATAACGAAATTTTTAATGAACTCTATTGGGTTTTTTCTCTTGTTAAAACGAACGTATTTTCCCTCCACAGAACACACTATAAGCTCATCGTAACAAGATCTACAACTTTTTATTGAGATGCGTTTTAAATCTGTTTGTTTGTTTGCGCCTACGGTAACAGAACCCAATAAACCCCCCATCGGCGCTTTGAGTAAAACAGACAAAGTTTTTAACAAAGTCTCTTATCTTGATAATTAATCAAAATTGAACGGATCAGTGCGTTTGCCAACACGCATGACCCGAGCTTAAGAATTTGATAATTAACATTGTTAAGAATTCAGCCAAAGAGTCTGTACGTGAATACATCTGTTAGTTTGTTCGCTGATATCCATAAGTGTCCTGTAGCTACTTTGAAGCCAGTTGACAGTCTGCTTGAACCATGAGCGCCAGCGAACAGTTTATCCAGGCCATTCAGACTGGGGATTTAATTTATGTCGAGAAACATCTAAGAAGGCCGGTGAGTTCTCCAGAGCTAGGCAGAACTAAAGGGGTGCAGTCTAGATAGAAGCCGTGAAGTCGTTAAGTCACTATGCAGGCTTCGCTTCTGTTGGCTATTTGTTAGTATAAAAGTAAAACTAGTGCTTTGAAACTAAAACCAGTGTCGATGTCTTGGGTAAAGAATCACAACAGTATGTTGCATGCTCTTGGGAGCGATGCCTGGTAATAGAAAAATCGTCACAGCGCAGGAAAGTCGGGCGATAGCTTGGAAGAAGCGAAACTGTACTAGTAGTCTGCTAGAATATTTCACAAATAAGAGCTTTTAGGCGTGTGGGGAGAAATTTAACATCAGGACGCTGAACAGCTTTGCACAGAAGGCAAGGGGGTATCTTTTTTAAGTGGTGAGTATTGTTGACCGAGGTCAAATGATATGGCCCGTCCCTCCCCTCTCTCGAACTCTCTCTTCTTCTATCTTACCCAGTCCTCGTGCCTGGAGCGGTGACGATCTCACGAAGTATTCTTTCGCAGGGAACTGAAATCAACGCTGAGGTGAGACACGGGCGAAATGCTCTCCATTACGCCGCTGATGCAGGAAAAGTTCCGATCGTTAGATTTCTGTTAGACAACATGGCCATCATTGATGTAAGAACATATTTTGTAAATACAGTCATATGGTGGTTTTGGAACCATGATTATATCTTTGCCTAATCATGACATTTACAGCCGACTCCTTTGTCAAGTCTTGTCGGAAGAAATTCGCCATCGCCCTCTGGATTTATCTTTTCCTCTTTTAGAGATTTTATAATTTATCCTGCCAGCAAATAATTAATTCTCCTGTTTCACCTTGCTAAATATAGTTTAGGACGGTGCCAGATATCAGACATTATTACATCCATTTTGACAGCACTGGTGATCCTTGTAATCTAATTGGCTCTCATTGGTGCGATTTATTCACGAATCGCACCAATTTTTTGCTTTAAATCGCATCTTTTTATCAACCAGTGAGGAAGATTTTAAAATACAACAACCAATTGCTTGTTTAAAGAAACCAATCCAATTGAAACACAACTTTTGCAACTTTCTACAAATCAGCTCACCACTGGATCAACAAGCATTTGTAAAGACCAAAAATCCTTTATCCGAGCAACTGAATTTTGCGACTTCAAAATAGATGTAATAAAGTGGTAACTGAACTTCGTGTCGTGCAATTTTTGTCTGAAATCAAACTTTCAAATCAATTTTGAAATCACGCATATTATTTCAGACCAAATTACACACCACTCAGTTCAATTACTATTATAAATATCATAATATAGACCCGACAGCTGAACGGAAAATGCCAAGTCTTGTTATGACTGTTATACGCTATCCTGCTTGTACCAAGCCCGCCGGCTCGCGTGCTTTAGATCCTATTTCCAAACAGACCCCCTTGGAAGACACATTTAATAGTACTTTATTATTACTTGGTGTGTAAGTTGACCCGAGCAGCTGTTATCGCGGAAAATCATGCCTTAATTTAATCTGAAAACACATAGTCTTCTGAGGATGTCCAGTACCATGTTTCCTAATGTCAAATACTTACACGTTTTGAGGTTATCAATATTCATTCCACGCTTTCCGCTTTTGTTCGTAACGGTTGGTTTGGAGTTCATTTTTCAACACCCTCATGGTGATCTAAAAACACCACGTGTATTACAAGGACATGGTAATGAAAGACGACCTATCTCAAGCAAAAGGGCAAAGGTACCCTCACTAGTTTTAAATAAACAATATTAATTACCATGGTACGCAGTTGTATTTTTAGAAGGGAGTACAGTCATCCATCTTCTCAACTTAAAAAGCCTAATGTTCATTCTCGTCAATAGTTCATGATACAGGCGTGATTTTTATTTCTGTTTCTCTTTAAAAACCTGTTTCCTCTCTCTCCAGTTCCAAGACCTCGATGGTATGACTCCACTGATGGCCGCAGTTGATAAAGATCACCTTCCCACGGCAGCTTTTCTTTTGAAAGAGGTAGGTGTGTTATCTTGCTGAACCGACAGATGTAAATGTTGCAGGGTAATTTGTGTTTTCCATGCGGAAATGTGCTCGAAATTAACCCTTAAACTCCCATGATCTCAATAGTAATTCTCTTTACTGTCTGACATACAATTCTTATGATATAAATTTGGAGAATTTGGTATTTGATCAACTAATAATCCCCTAATTGATATTTTACTTTATTCTCATCACTTGTGTGCTTGATATTGTATCACTACTGTACGGAGAAATTTTCTCCTGGTCATTAATGGGAGGTAATGGGTTAAACAGAATCATTTCAAAGACTGATCAGGCAACTATCCAATTTTTTTCCATATCCTTCAAACTGTAGAAGGTACAATCTTAGACACGTGTTCAAAGCGCAGATTTTTAGGGGTGGAGGGCAGGTAGATGGTGCATGATTTTTATGCATTGCGTTGAATGGTCCGCTTAAACAATAGGATTAACCAGGCGTTCAGTTACTAAACAGGGCTAGGTGGAGGGGCGTGGTGCTAACGCAAAAAGAAATAGGAGTGAGGTTTGGGACGGGTTACGATCTACTCGGCTGAACCTTTCTTTACTTTTCATTCGGGCTGCCATCACATCCCGATTACACACTAAACACCTTGAGCAAGCCACAAGAGGACATCAAGCAATTTTCGCCGAGTGGCCATTTTCAAATAATACCACTAATAACAGAGAAAAAGGAAGCTAAATAATTTTGGTCATTAAGACCATGACCTTAGAGCATTTCCGGTTGAGGTTGCGCAGTAAAGGTCTGTGGCATTTTTAAAGGTGTTATCTTCGGATGAGGGTCGAACTCTCCCTCAGAAGAAACTTCTTTTGAGAGTAACATTACGTTCCGATCGACAACCCAAGGAACGGCTTCAAAGTAGACCTCACATTGACATTCTTATTTGCCCTCAAAACTCCTTCCCTGAGAAGAGATACATACAAAGACCCAGTATACGTACTCAGCGTGCCAGATATCCACTGCATAACATTTTCATTCTCTCTCTAACCAGGGAGCAGATCCAACTATAGAAGATGAAACAGGAAAAACAGCTTATGATATCGCGAAGGACAAGAATTTTACAAAGATCCTGGCTCTTTTAGAAGAATACAAAAAGTAATTACGCTCATTTTTTAGAAAGATTCCTCAAATGAAGTTCCCTCAACTTTAACTTGTTGTCGATGTTCTTGTTTTCTTGTGTTGTGTGAGTGATTTCGTTTGTGAAGAGTAATTTACAAATAGCTCCCATGTTGCCGTGGGTCTGCTCAGTGATAGATCACAGATCAGACGTCAAAATGTGGCAAGAACAAAGAAGTGGTGCATAAGGAGCAACCGAGTGTGTCGCTGACGTTTTTATCATATTTGGATGTCTTCTGTGATCTATTACTGAACAGACCCACGTCAAAATGCAGTCTATTTGTTTTATGTAATAAAAAAGCAAATATTTGTTATTGGTGACGTCATCTATGCGTCTGTCCTACAATAGATTAGTAGAGAGAACAAATCAAAAGGCGTGTAGGATTCAGCTTATCGTCGCTCCCAGCCTCCTGGGGGCGACGAACTATCTGTTATGTTCAGATGTTCGCTACTCAGTCAAACAGTAATGCACGGCAATTGATGCTTAAGTCTGGAAAAAAATACACATAAAATAAGTCATCTTTAAAAATCGAGCTGTTAACGGTTCATCATTGTGCAACTCATTTTTTTGAACGGTGAAATAAAATTATAAAAAACACTTTTGATGATTTTACTTTGTAATAAGAAACAACCAAAACGACAAAACATTTCCAGTTCGTGTGAGCAACCTGTTTGATCGTCCAGTGTAGGGTTTACAGAGTTAAGGAAGACTATTTTAGGGGAGGAAACGGCGTGATTAGGGGTATGTAAGTCCGCCGATCCAGGCTATTATTTTGCCCGACCCGTTGAACGGAAGTTATTTTCTTTCAAATCCCGATCCGCGTCAATATAAAAGTTTTCGAGGAATAATTTGCCTTTTTTTGCTTTTAATTGTCCTGGAAAGTTCTAAGGTTTTACACGAAGTTTTCTGCCTTTGTGTTTGAGAAAGTAACGTTATAACATCACAGAGGAATTGCTCATTAGTCAGGGTCTATCGGTCAGGAGAGGCCTTTTTGCTTTCTCTCATCGTCGAAGTCTGACGGCACGTGAAACATAAGGCAAAGGCCTTATGACAAATAAGGCAAACACTGAGCATGCGATCCACAATCCATAATCGGTAATCCGTTCATATGTTGAGGCAAACCCGCAGATCCCTCAATCTATCCATCAAAACCTCTTCCCCTCCCCTCCCTTTATAAGGCCAAGAGTTGGACAGATTGTGCGATATTCCGATGTCTTGAACTGCCAATAATAACATTGGGGTAGACTGAACAACCAAAGAAAAAGATAAACTAGTGAAATAAAAATAACTATGTCGATGTAATGCCTTTAAGAAATAATTTATTTCCATCTCTTTGTCAAGCAACGTCGGAAGACACCGGTGAATTCCCCCCACCGACATTGTGTGACAGTGACGGCTGTAGCTTGACCCCTCAATATCTTTCTCTGCTCGCATATGCGAGGCATGATTTTGTTATGGCCAGACTCTTCCAGAGAAGTCGGGACAGAGGGTATCTTTCGTACGCGTTAGATCATTAAAGCAACTCTTTTCATTCAGTTTAAATATTTTTGTTCATAAAATCACGTTCCAGGCTTGCTCCCAGGCCACGTCGTCCAGCCTGAGGATCCCTTTTCTGTGGCAGAAACATGGGCAATAAAGCGCCCCGCTTTGGAGTCCATAACATTCCGTACAACTTTCTTTCTGTAGTCTAACCAAGCCTCGGCGGCCAGATAATCTCGATAAAGCTCCTCGTCCGATAGGCATCTACGTGGAAAATAACGAAATACTCAGGCTAAAATTATGGATTTATCAATGAAACTTCATTCGCACACTTGACTACGAAGCTAAAATTTCCATACCCTAGCTTTAAAAGACTCTCAGCTTTGAAGGCTAAAAGTGCGCTAAAACTCAATGATGCAAGGATGTCTGGGGTAAGTTTTGGATGACGTAGTTTTAGCTGTATGCGCTCGCGCGGGGTAGTCACATTTTAAGAGAAACCGAAAGGCCCTTCTTTGTTTAAAGAAATTGCTTTTTCTCTTTCGAAACGTGATATCTTTAAAGGTAGCCTTTATTTCATTCTTTCCAGCCAACATGGGAGTAAATATCATCAGTGGAGGAACCATGTATATAAATAAATGAACCACCCTGACTGCAGCGTTTAGAATTAGAATTGTAGCTGGGTTTATTGTTACTAACCTGTGTTTGGGGTTAAAATTTTCTTCAAATGTCTCCATGTGTCCTCTAGGACTTAACTCGATAACTCTCCTCTTGGGAACTTTTAAAACTCGAACTCCAGCGCTGACTAGAATATTCCCCGGGCCAGCCTCTTGGTCAGCAGTTCCCATGGTCGTAAGATCCTGGAGCAGAAGAATAACTGATGAATAGGCTTGCTAATCACAGCTAATGCGCATCGGATATGCACAACACGGAGGGCAAATGTCGAGCATGCGCAAGCAGTCCAATTTTGGTCAACCATAAGGTAATTTCCCGCGTAAACATTTTACAGGGAAACATATGTAATTTCCAGCGACGCACGAGAATTACTAAACAAATTTAAAATGTGAAGGAAACGAAAGTACAGGAAAAGTTGATGTAAGAAGAATTGTTCGTACCGAAGTCTTTTTCATTACGGGTGCTCTGTTGATTTGACATTTTTATTTTTTTCTGTCAAGCTTAAAAAAACGTTACACGATTTGAAAAATCGTTTGTTACTTGATAGTGTGGTTGTGTGACAGCTAGGTTCTGACAGCTCGAAATGACAATATGAAGTCACTATTACAGCCGTATCCTAACCACACATACGCAAACTTTATACCTCTTTTTTGGCCTCTTAACGTCATTGTAAGGACACCTCTTTTTAGGGAAGCTTCTTGAATTGGTGTTAAAGATAATCGTCCATCTTTATCTCAACTTTAATGCCAAAACATTAAAATCCAACTCTTTTCGCGCAGTCATGCATTTACGATGGGATCCCAAAACCAACTCTTTGCTCATTCATTTACATGAAGTACCTACCCACGAATCCCCTGGTTGTAATGAGCCCACGTTGATGTAGCACGTATTGGACCCCTTCTTGCGAGGAAGTGATGCTATTGGACGAGGAAGCGGTCGATGCTTGTATAAGTCAATTGTGACGTCAGATTTCAGAACAGCTTGCAAGTCGACACGACGCAACATCTCTATTTTTCCCTACCAAAACAAAGCAACAGATAAAAAAAGGAAATGAAACGTAAAGGAACTCGTGTCTCGCGATCGGGTATCTACCTGTTCTTTCTGAAGAGGATGCTGGTTCATAGACAGCGTTTCGTCAGGTTCCTCTGACAGTTCTCTACTACTCATCTGTACTCGGAAATAGGGGATGGGGGGGTAGAGGGTGGGGGAAGGGAACCGTGAGAGTGACGTGCCTTACCCAAGTTCACTTCACAGTCCCAAACTCCCTTTGGCATAGTCTCGAATCCAGACCTCTCCACCCAGAGTTAGCTTCTAAGCCACTGCGCCTCCCGCAAAACAAAAGCAAACCTAATACTCGAGTACAAACGAGTAATTAATTTTAAAACAAACTTTTCCCATATCGTTTGGCCTTTCTTATTAAAAACATGATTTCCGAGTTAAAGTGGAGAACTGCTATTTCTCAATTTCATGACAAAGCCATAAGGTATCTCTTTACTGTAAGGATGACTGGTTTAAATACAACAAATAAACATTCGAGCAAAAGTAAACATTGAGTTCCCTCAGATCAACTGCTTACCTTTATTATAAAGTAAATCGATTCTGAAGTTGTCGAATCCTCGTCGATCAGCTTCCCGTAAGAGAACTGCAACGAACAAAGGAGAGTTAGAAAAAAAATGGCACCTTTTCTTTGACATTTACGCATTCTACTGATAAAAGCGGAAGGAAGATCAACCAAAATTGAGTGTTCTTTTTCTTGCTTACCTCTCTGATATGTGATCGAAAACTCAATGATCGTAAAAGGTCCTCTCCCCAGCCGTCAAACAAGGAATGACTCCTGAAATTAAAAGACACATCAAATGTCAATTAGAGAAGAAAGGAAAAGACTGGGGGATAGTCTTCTTTGAAATATCATTCGGCTCAACCTCGTTTCGAGGATCTCTCTTCTTCCCACGTCCTGGAGCAGGAGATAGAGAAGTAGTACGAAGAGGTACACTGGGAATGAGTTTGCAGTCGGGTTTGGTGCAGTGCTATAATCTTCCAATAATGGTATGTGCCTCACAACTTAATTGAATATGTGCTAGACCTAGTTAAGGCTGGCGTCAAGAGAGAACTGAATCGTCTTCGTGTATTTGGCAACATACTTTCACGAACGAGCATCAGATTGAGACCGAACACCCTATGAAATTAAGGTAATTCCTGTCAAGTTAGTAATTTTAGGTCTGGTAAACTGGTATTGATGTTGCATCCAGCTGCTGATCGAGGTCTCAGTTAAGACCAAATAGACGCAGCATGTTTCAGCTATGTATGCAGACCTCTCTGATCCCTCTGTTATCCCCAGATCCCTCTGGGGATAACTGGGGATAACTGGGGATAACTTATAATTAGAGGATTATAGGTTGACCCAATACCAACTTCTCCAAACTAACATCACAAGAACTGTATGGCAGACAGTAAGAACAATTACTAATAAAATCTTAGGAGTTACAGGGTTAAGGTTAGGTTTCCACCCAAAAGAGCAAAAGTTTGCTCTGATATATAACATCGAACAAGGCCCATAGGTGTGACACCAGATTCGAACCAAGGAGAAAATAAGGGAAAAAAGGACGGAAGAAGTCGATAATTGTTGATTAAGAGCTTTTACGAGGACGATACAGTTGGAGTGTTGATTCCGCAACTGAGGGTACTGAAAAACTAAGGACCTTTAAAGGTGAAAAGTGTAAGCTGAGGTTACCTCATAACTTGCAGTTTTTCTTCGTATTCTCTTTGAAACACGTCTGGACAATATTCCAAGATGGTCTCCCTGTTTACCACAAGTACCTCGACTCTTTCCCGACATATGATTGTTGCCGTTCGCCTTGCTTCCTCTGAAATGAGCGCTATCTCCTGAAGAAAGGAAAATTTAAAGACTTGTTTTATTTGCCGTCCTGAAATCGTGGATGGGATACATCGTAGTCAAATACTCGGCACCCTGTTTTGTATGAGATCAATCTTTGAGATTTCCTGGCCTCAGACGGAGACAGAGGGCAATATAACGTTTGCACTTGAGAAAAGATTCAGCAAAATGACTCAATCAACTGTATGGGCCCTGTTCCTCAGGGGGCCCGTCTCGAGTTACATCTAAATCAATTAGGAGATCCCAGGGACATTTTGAGATAAGAAGCCTTTAAAGGAAAGACATCAGTGCTCTTCGATTTGTCATAAGTAAAGGAAGAAGAGAAAAATCTTAGTCAACCTAAAGGGGTCAAACACCAGATCTTCGGTTTTCGCTCTCCGCTGCTTTAAGTCTAAACTACGGAGACGTCGATGGTGAGGTGGGTTATTAATGTTCTAAAAGAGACAAGCGTTCTTCATGCCGATAGGATAAAAAATGACGACAGCTTCGTGTGATTAAATGGAACATTGATCAC